CATCTCGATGTATTCCGTCTTTGAAATGATTCAAATCAAATTCCTCGTCATTATAAATATCACGAGTACACATCAAACTGTTTTCTGGTTGCAATTTTCTAATTTCGACTATGCGTAATGTATGCTTTACGTATGCGAGCGTTGAAAGAAAGGTTTAATAAAGTAAACAAATAAATATTAAGCTTTTTTTTTGTAAATTTTGATACCCTTTAGATCATAATTGCTCTTTATTTCATAAATTACGGTTTCATATTTTTAATTTTATAATTTCTGCATGCCATCTTACCAGATTTAAACTGATGATCTATAATCTGGAAAAATCGATAATCCGGAATTGCCAAAGACCCAACGAGTCCGGATTAAAGACTTTTGGCTGTACTTGTTCTTTTTTTATTACCAGAAGTGCACAGTAATCTATTTATAGATTACCTATTATCTGAACTGCTAATTATGGTAATTGAATAAAACTTCAAAATTACTTTATTATGATATATAAAATGTAATTTAAAGATATTTTTAAAAATTTCTCATTTTAAAGTTATTTGGGTGTTAACGGGTTAAGCAAGGTTCAACGTACTTTGATAGAGAGTTAGGAATCCTGAGTAGAGTGCATTTGCCTTCAGACTATATTCGCTGGCTAGTTTAAATTAAGAACCATATATGTTAGATTTGTGTTAGCTAAGTCTCTTTTAGTTAGTTCGAAGTTAGATCTTATTTCTTATTTTTAAGCCCAAGTGGAAGCTTTGTTGAACCAGAAAAAAATGACTGACTGTTCATCTTATTTTGAGTGAAATAAAAGGAGTTAACCTTTCTTGAGTTTAGTTCCTGTTATTTGAACTAAGCAATAAGTCACTTAACAGTTTACTAGGTTCCTCAACATTTACTTTGGTAGAATAAGAGTGAGGAATTCTACAACTTAACCCATGAAAGCAAACTCTCTGCTATAACCATATGCCAAAACTGCATTAATATGTTTTCATACACACACACACTGTATGGACAAAAACGAGGGTAAAAAAGGTCTCCTTCAATCTGCACTGCGCTAACAGAAAATTCAATTATTTTTGTACTCAGATATTAATCAAAAGTTAAGCCCAAATTGTCAATTTTTTTAAATTTATTTTCAGTGTTTTTATATTTTTATGAATAAAATTATTATTCATAATATAAATATGCATTTTAGAGGGAATAGTTAGAGAATTATATTTTGAGGGAATAGTCGGAAACATAACTTCTGAGTTGAGTAATTTATTGTGTAGAATTTTAATGTATGGTGAAACTGAAAAAGAATGAAAAACAAATTTAATAATTGCATATAATAATCATAATAAAGCCTCAATTTTTTTAATTAAGAGTTATTCTGCATCTCTTTTAGAAAATGTTTGTCCCAAACAGAGGCCAAGTGGTTAAAACTACTGTACCAGTTTCCTGTAGAATGGCCTTCATGAAGGTGTCCCTTCCCTTAGGCAGATAGCCTTCATGTATTTGGCCATATTCAATTATCTTTACCTAATTTTGGGATAATGTGATAATGTTTATCAATCCTTTTTTGTTACTTATATGTTATCACAACCACATTAGTAGAAGTAGCGGTTAGAGTAGATTGAAAGGTGATGCGTTTATTATCGTGAAGTTGTTTCATTTATGGTAACCTGAGCAGTTGAATGTTATGGACACTCTATTATGATGTAATCGATTGCATGATTGCCGTTAATTTTGAATGATGGGGAAAAGATTTTTAAGGACTTGTGTGTTGGTTAGGAAGTACATTGCTTGTTTTGTATTTTAGATGATAGAATGGCTGAACGTTGTAAGAGTAATTTGAATTTCTGTACAATTTGGAATTAAAGAAGAAAAGCGCATTAATTGACTAGTGCATAAATGAAGGTTTACTTAGTAACCACTGTAAGTGTCCTGTTTGTTGGAAGGAAATGCATATGGTTGAACATCGGAAGATATTTTTTACTCTTATTTTTGTGAATTTATGTGGTGATGCCGATATACAGATTCCAGTTCAGATAATTTTAGGAAGATTTTGGCTGCTGATAAGGAATTTTGTGTGCCACTGACTGAAGGACTCAGAAATTTCTGAATAAGGTAAGTGGATATTTGCTTTGTGTAGTGCTGAGATGCATAAGACGAATTTCCTTTTTTATGTTATTTTATTTTTGATTTAAAATGTAGTTGAGATTATGTATTTTTTGTTTGGCTCTAGTATAGAATTGGGTGCTCCTTTGGCTTTTTAAGTGAAAATAGATAGATGTATACATGGACTAAGTCAAGGCAGTGCCTAATGCCAAGTTTGTGCAATTCTCTGACTTTTTTTAATGTGAAAATAGGTCGATGTGTACCGAGTTTGTGCAATTATTTGACTTGTTATTTTGTCTTTGTGTAGCGGCGATTTTTGGCTCAAAAATTACTGCTACACAAAGCCAAAATAACAGTTCAAAGAACTGCACAAACTCGGTATCCATGTGCTGCCAAAAATCGCCATTTTTACCAAAGGGCACCCATAAATATATTTTTAAAGAATTTGCCAAAGTTTGGTAGCCATGTGCAAAACCATTCTCCAGGCAACCATGCTCATAACAGTTCTTCAGTCAAGCAATATTACCATTTTTAAATGCATTCTTTTTTTGTTCTAGTCCAATTTCAATGGCTTTTATAAACAAATCATGATATTTTTTGTCTTAATTTTAAAACGTGGAAATATTTTTAAATTTTCCCACAAAATCTCTAAAGGGAACAATAAGGAGATGCATTTGTTAGATAGTTGATATTGCCAAGGGTTGTGCAATACTGAGACTACAATTCTTTGATCTTTTTAAAGAGAAAACAAATCGTTGTATACTAGGAGGTAAGAAAAATCCAAAAAGTTTCAGAAAGATTTGATAAAGAATGTGTTTTATTATTTTAACATATCATGTAATCCTTATTTAATAATTAAAATTTGTTTTTGAAATCACTATTTGTTTAGTATGTTGATAATGTTTCTTGGTTTATGATAAATATTGACAGTTTGAAATCTTTTAAATAAAATTGTGAAAATATGCAACTTGATAAATAACTTTTACACCTGCATCTATAAAAAATCATCAACGTGTGCCAAGGTGGTTGTGTTAATACGTAAACACCTTTTTTTTAATTTTTTGCGATTCATTAGTAGTTTTTCACTATTTTGTGAGATTATCCATTTTGCTTTCATATCCTCCTGTGATACCTATTAATCCAGGTATTTGAAGTTATAACATGTTTGACTTTTTGGTACTTTCTGGCTATCCACAAATCGATTTCAAAAGTAAAAGAATTGCACTGCTTTGGGTACATTTTCAAGTATTACATAAGAAAGTAAATAATGTATGTATGTACCACCTATATATTCGAGTCCAGATGGATTTGTCATGATGTCCAGATGGATATTTAATCATCATTTTGCTGTTAATAGTACTGACTGGCTTGAAGATGTAAATACTGGCCATATAAACTTTCATTTTTCTAACATAATTTATTTTTTTATAGAAAATGCTTTTGTGGCTATTATTTAAGGATAGAAATGCACTAGGAATCACAAAGCTAGTGCTTTTCACCTATTCCAAAAGTTGGAAATGTTATGAGAAAGTGCTGACAATTGAAAAGTACCCTTTGCCACTGATTCGATACAAACATCCTTTTCCAAATTATAACAAGGTAAGCTATCTTTACAGTATTTTTTTTTTTTTTTTTACATCTCAATAACTTAACTGAATTTGCTGCTGCTTTCCTATTAAAATTAATTCTACATATTTGAACTAAATTGGATCACTTGCAAATTTTATGATATTAATATTAAAGAATACAGAAAAATCAATAGTAAATGTGATGTTCTGATGAATTACAAGTGTTCAGGAAAAAATTGGGACACTGGTTATTATTGACATTATGCAAACAAGAAAAACATATTTTATATTAGCAAAAAACTGCAAACCCCATTAGCTTTAGAGAATAAAATCTCTAAAGTATGTAAACATACATCCTCAAAATATGTTTTATTTTGAGAAATTCTAAAAACTGAAAAAGTAAGTTTTCTCCTTTAACACTTAAGTTTAATATTATTTTCTATTACAATTTGTTTATCATTTAATTATAAAATGATTAGTAATTTTTAATTCCATAAAAATACTTAAGTAGTTTCTTCCATTTTTATTTAATATTTTATTTAATTTAAGACAAATATAATTAACAAAGCAACACTGAAGTTACTGATTACCTCTACTGAATGTTTAAAAAAGATCAACAGAATAAAATAATGGTAAATAGAAATAACTTTAGCATGTAAAATTAAACTGCTTCAGAATACAATACGTTTTTGTTTCCATTACCGCTCTTCCAAGTATTTAAGTTTGCCTACATATGATACAAAATCATTTTCATCAAAATGATACTACTACCAAATGAGATGAATCAAACTAGGCATTAATAATTTGCGTTAAGGTGCTAAATGTATTTACATACTAAGCTTTGACAAATGAATAACTCAATAACCATATTTTATAATACGTAATAAAGATACATAAAGATAATCACATACAACTCCTTCAATGTATCATTTCACATTTTTGCGGCTAAAGCCCTCATCCTTTTGACCAAATAATCATCAAAATTATTCCCATTATCGTTGTCTTCATCCGACAAATGTCTAATTTCCAGTCATTGAAGAATTTTCTATGCTAGCTCATTCTTTAAAATTGCAGTTAGAAAAATGAACAAGGTGAGGAAAGAAAATAGAATTACTTAAATGCTGTAAAACAAAACAGCACAATCCAACAGCTAATTACAGTATTTCTGTCACGATTGCGAATGGCTGAAAACATCGAGATAAAAATTACGTTGTTTCGAGAAACAAAATAAAGATAACTTTTTACGTTCTATAACTGAGGTTAAGCAAGGTAGAAAAAAGAAAAATGTAGCTAGTGTGCATTTTTCATGAAGTGCGATACCAAAAGTTTAGCATATATACTTACACCATAAGTGTGAAAAGCACTTCCTACGCATGTCACGACAATATTTTCGTTCCTTCGGTTAATATATCTCAAAGATAATGGTATATGATTACTGACAAATCCTATAGCTCTATAAGGTACAAATAATTTGCTTTTCGAATTCATAGTTTCAGTACATTTGAAACGATACAGAAAGTAAACAGACAACACACGTGCTAATTTTCCGGACAAGTCAGAATTTTTCCCTTTTCTTCTCCTATATCCAACACAAATCCAACAATCGAAAAACATTTTTCATAAACCCAAAACCTGCAACCCCTTTTTGGTGCCTTAGCAGCTATATCAATTGAGACTAGAGATACAGGCTGACTCGTCAGCCATTTTGAATCTAAGCTTTAGGGTTGCAATTTAGGTGTGGAGCGGCAACTTTGGCTCTTTAGCGCTGTCCGCTAAAATTTAACATTCTAGAGAATCCGAATTTCAGCTTTTTTCTGCACTCCTATAAAGATGTGTGGCTTTTTCCCCTTCTTTTGTCTGCAGTACAGATTCTTTCTCGTATTTTTTTTTTTTTTAAATTGCCAAATTTCTCGTATGATTCAAGTTATTTTAAAAGTTTCTAAAACATTTTCACATATCATATTTCAAATTTGTATTTTTAGTTAAAAATGCTTTCTTTTTGAATTCCTTTATTGAATTTTCAATTTTTTCTTTTAAATACACGCATAATGTTATTTATCTCAAAATGTATTTTTTGACAAGAGCTTTCCCTCAACCACATTCTTAATATGGTTGAGGGAAATCCCTCAACCTCCATTAATTTAGGATAAGGTTTAATCTTTAATTTTTGTTTTTTATTTTTAATATGTTATTTGAATTTTGCTCACATGGAATCAAACGTCTATTACTGTAGCAAATTTGTTAAAAATGTTATTTTGTGTGTGTTTCCAGAAAAAGCTGCTAAACACTTTATGATTTTAAATACTGATTCAAGATATACACCTTTAAATTATAATGCTTTTAGAATGAAGTGCAGAATGCTATAAAAATTACTTCAATGCTCAGATGACTGTGGGATTCATAGATTTAATAGAGTAAAAAATTCCATTAATTTTTTTTTTTTTTTTTTTTTTCTTTATTTAGCTATAAACAATATTAAAATAATACACACACAAATAAATAAAAATAAAAATAATACCTTTACATACAGAATTTACAGATACTATTTACTTATAAGTTTATTTGTTGTTGATGGTTACTTTTTATTATACTTGGAAAAATTATACTTACATACATATGCTCTTAATATTACACGTATCTGAATATTTAAATGATAATTCCATAACATAATAAGATTCAATCTATATCACAGCAAAGACAATACTTAAATCACAGTTCTTTTTATTAATTAATTTGCATAAGTAAAAACATAAAAATATTATTTAGCTTCAAATCTATAAAATAAGTCCTCTAGTAACAAACATATGACAAACACATATAGTGAAAATAAAGATAAATAAATAAAAATGTTTTGCTTTTTGGTCTAATGTAGTGCAATTCAGTCTATTATATTCAAATTTTATTAAAACATACTGCAGTAATTGAATTTTTTCCATTATACATCAAACAGCTTTATATAGAATGATATTATATTAGTTTTACTTTTAAAACTAATATAATATAATTAATTCTCATTTATATGCGGAGATGTTTGAATAAATGCAAAAAACCATCTGAATAAATTTTAGCCAACACTATTCAGATAGTATTCTTGTTTTCAAGGTATATCATTTTTATTTTGTTCTTTTTCCATTAAAGGAGCTAACCTAAGACCACAAAGGTTCGATAATATTCAGGTCTGGTGACTGTGGTGGCCAGGGGAGATGGGACAACTCATCCTCGTGCTCAGAAAACCAGTCCTGGACAATGTGAGCTGTGTGAACAGGGGCTTTGTCGTCTTGGAAGACACCATCACCATCGGGGAACAAAGTTTGTACCATGGGATGAACTTGATCGGCCAAAATGTTCACATAAGTCTTGGCAGTCATGTGCCCTGACACAGTTCATTTGGGGCTAGCAGAGAACCACGATATGGCTGCCCAAACCAGAACAGAACCCCCGCCATGTTTCACTCTTGGCAACAAACAGTCTGTATTATAGGCTTGAGATGGCGTTCTCCAGACGTAAACTCGGCTAGAAGTGGGAAACAATGTGAAAGAAGACTCGTCAGACCATATTACTCGCTTCCACTGCTCTATAGTCCAGGCTTTATGACTTAAACACCACCTTTTCCTGTTACGGGCATTAGCGTCACTGATGAGTGGCTTCTCAATTGCAGCACGGCCAGCAATTCCCTGTTTATGAAGCTCCCTTCTAATTGTTTTGGTACTCACAGGGTTCGGTAACACAACATTCATTTCAGCAGTAACTTTTGCAGCTGTGGTCTTCTTATTTTTCGTCACAATTGCCCTTAATGATCGTCTGTCACGATCACTCAGGACACACTTTCGTCCGCCCTGTGATTTAGCAGATGATGTTTTTCCGCTTTTCAAATATGCGGAATAAATCTTCGATACAGTACCTCTTGAAACACTAAACACCTCGGCTACCTTGCTTACGGAAGCACCTACCATACGTGCTCCAACAATTTGCCCACGTTCGAAGTCTGTTAACTCTGACATAATGCAATGACAACCTCACATAACAGTACTCCGACAACAACTGAACTGTTTAGCACATTTACGAAGTTGTATAGGTGGCGTCAGTAGTCAAAAACGCCAGCGCCACCTACATTTCATTAAAATCAATCTTTCTTTTCAAACATGCATTTCACAAGGTGTTTCCATATTTTTGTCCATCCACTGTATCTCATTGATATATTATAAATATAGCTTAAACATGTTTTATGTGCATACCCAAAGGGGGTGGGAAGTAAGCCTTGATTCAAAATCTGTTTTAAAGCAATAAGTAAATAAATAAAATACACTGGTTCTATTAGAATGTCAAAAAATACTGTTATGTATTCTATAAACAAATCCAAATTATCACATCATACTATATAACCCTGGTACAAAAGAAGAAATGTCTGATTAGGAACATACTCTATTTATTTGGTAAAAAAGAAGAGTAAAACATATGCAACATCCCATTATGAAAAATCCTGCAAGCCATTACAATACTATAAGACATTGATTAGTAAGGTAAACATCAGTTGATCATTCTTTCACAACAGCAATAAATGTTTCATTTAAAATTCCTAATAACATGCCAAAACAGATTCACAATTGATGCCTCATTTAAGGTCACACAAAAGTAAATCCGATTTAGCTGACTATGAGATCTTCTATTGTAGAGGACTTTCTAAGGAGAACTGGCTTGTATTCACATTACACATGGGGAAAAACCACAAAAAAACCAACCATGCAGCCAGCCTGTTCGGAAATAGAACAGAAGATGGAACTCCCAGCATTCAGTAACTTTAACCATTCAGCTGTTGGTGGGCCTAATTATTATTCGAAGAGACAAACAGCAATTTTTCAGTGACAACTACTCTACTTTTTTACAGACAGAACTGAACAGCAAAAACTTCTTAAACTCTTGATTAGATTCTAGTTTACTTTCTTCCTTTTAAAAGCAGGAGATGCAAAACTTTGCCGCTGCTGCCTTTTATTTTGAAGAAGCTTCTTGAGACCAATTCCACGGGCAGTCAAATAATATTTTATTATCTTTGTTTTGATATTGCAACAGGAGGGAATATTTACCTTGCCTGCTTTCTTACAAATCATATTAACAAATTCCACATCCATAGTTACATTTCCATGTATTATTTCGTCTCGAAAATTTTGAATTATTTTTTCACACAGAAGGCACAATTTAAAAAATTTCTGGAGGACATTAAATGGGCTTAAAGCCCACCTAAATTTGCAAAATTAATTATGTACTGCTTATTTTCATCAATGGAAGGAGTATTTTGCTCACAAACTAAGAGAAACTGTGAGCATGAATTACAAGCATTTTTCAAAACAGAATTTATTGCAGCTCCTGCAATATAACAGACGTTATTTTCCTCACTAAGGGTGAGATTCTGTAGAGATACATCAGAAACTTCTGGTATGGTAACAGGCTCTAAAGCTTTTTTCTCCTTCAGAAATTCAAATTCATCTTTCGCATAGTTTAATAAGTAAATATCTGAATCAGTAGCATAACTGGAGTTCTTAATGTCAGATATAAACTGAGATAAACAGATAAGCTTTAATGCTTTCACAGCTTGCAAAGCACTTGGCCTCAAACCAGCTTTTCTGCGTATCTGAGAAAATACATTTTCTAGAGCATCTTGTGTCAATCTGCTCGTCAAAATAAACTGAAAATCATTCAGAAAACATGCCTCTGCTAACTGTATGGCTGATAAAGTAGAAAGAATCAAACCAGTATGTAATGGTTTCCACCCTTTACCAATTTCTATAAGCTGTATAACATTAATAAATTCAAAAAGTAACTCAATTTTTTTGCTTTTATTTGTCACAGAAATTGAGTTCTTTCTACATCTAGAGGATAGCATTTGAAACCACTGACATATAAATCTTATCCACCATGCTGTTGTAAGAGCATTAGGGCTTATCTCTTTTAAAGCTACTGCCTTCTCCAATCCCACAGCTGTTTTAATTGGAAAAAACCTCACAGCAGAAGCAACATTCATTTTATCAAAATGTGAGGGGAAGAGGTCTTCTTTGCTGAGATGATGCATAGTTCTCAAACCACAATTTTGGTTTGTTTCAGTAATCCAGATATCTTTTATAAATCCTGCAGATACATGCAAAGTAACCAAATTTTCTTTATTGCAAACATAACTGGGCAGTTTTATACTATGATTAAGAGTTGCAGACCAGAGATTTTTTAAAAGATGTGGCACATCTGCAAATACATAAATAATTTTGCCCTTAATTTCAGTAGTGAAATTATTTCTTTGGTTTCGAGAAACAGATATTCCCAAAGAATTCCACAGGCTTCTATTTACTGCTGCCATATCGCTAACAATACCAACAACATTAAATCCAACAGAATTGACAGCTTCGATAACATTGACAACAAGTTGTTTGAGCTGGCATCCTGTTACATGTCCAGTTATCTCATGGGCAACCACTTGCTTCCATTTCAGCTTCAAACCTCTTAGTAAAATAACTAAATAGTGATTTCCTGCACCCTTTTGATTTCCTAATGTACATTTACCAATAAATTTACATTTTGAAATATCAAAATCAGGATTGCCAGAAATCTCCATTTCATCCAATGATAAAATACAGTCTTTATCACTAGCATTCATTTTTTCTCCTTTAATTTTCAAAGGTTCAATCATCTCACTGATGACTCCAAAATTCATTTCAAGACCTTGAAGTCTTTTATTTAAAGTGCTGTATGAAGGCACGGAAAACCTATTCTGTGCAAGTAATTATAACCATGCTTGCCCAAGGCAAATCTAACTTTGAGGCCTTTTATTATTCCCTCGTTAGACCATTTTGCAATGCTTCTACGAGGAATTTTCAACATTGCTATTTGTTCATCTGAAAGAAATGTTTTCACTCCTTTCAGCAATTCCTCATGCTGTACTTGAAGGTCATGAAGTTGAATTTCAGTGCTATGCCATTTTTTTAAAACAATAATTTTTTTTTTTTTTTTTTGGTTGCTGTAAGTTCTTTCAGTAATATTTTGTTCTGGCATTGCAGAAGCGAGATCAATTCAGTCTGCTGTTTTATAAAATTCCTTAAAAGAACATCCTGGAATAAAGAAAAAATCTATATGAATAATCATCAAAGAAGGGGGGAACACAACAAACAAAAAAGATCTGAAAGGTTTCAGATTTTAAATTACACCCAAAGGGGCCTTTTTTTAACATTTTGTGTTTTACCTTTATTTATTAAATATCAAGTTTTTCACACTTAAACTATAAAATTCAGTTCAACAGCAATATTGCAAGATAATTTTAAAATGAACATATCTTCAGAATTCCCGATTCATTGTCTCACACGCTGGAGATAAAAGTGTCTTTTCTGTACAACATTGCCATTGCTCGCTTTGAAATCCTCAAGTTTGTTAATCAAAAATTCGTTAAAGTTTTACAACATATAAAATATATATTAAAACAAATTCCGAATTTCAAATTCGGTCTTCCAGATGTCCATATTCACAGTAGAATTAAGTCATTCAAAATTTGATGGCTCTAGGTACCGTTGTTTTATCAGAATGCAAAAAACATACATGCATTTATGCAGATTCTTCACTATATAATTTCTTTAAATATAGTACAGGGTGATAATATTTGGTGGCAACAATTTGAAAAGTGATGCAGCCGTTTATAGTGTTTCAATACAAAACGAAAACAATAGTCCTTCAGGGACAAAGCCCCTTTGGATTAAATGTCAAACTTAAACAGATAATAAATCCACAAAATAAAAATGCAAGTTCCAGGTCTCTTTTCCTATACTGTGGTGGGTTTTTAAATTTGACTCTATTGTTTTCAGCATTTTCTAGATTATTTTTGTTTTATTTTCTAATATTTAAAATTTATTTCACTTAAAAATAGATTTTTAAAATTTATTTCCAGCTTTTCAAGGGATCGATTATCTCCATAATCATGAGCAATTTAATAACACAAATTATCAACTTATATCACAGCCTTCACAAATGCTGATGAAATTAATTAAAATTAATTACAATTTGGTTGCAAGATGAATCTAAAGGTTGTTTTTGCAAACAAAACTGAAATTTACATAGAGAATTTGCAACTATTGATGAAATTAATTACATTCCTTTTACCAAAAAATTACTTTATAGAACATTTTAAATGCATATAAGGAAGCAATTTAATTATACATTAGTTATCAACTTACATCAGAGCCTTCACAAATAGATGGTATTTCATTGCAAAATGAGGCTAAAGGCTGTTCTTGCAAACAAACCTGAAATGTACACAAAGAATTTGTAAATGCTGATGAAATTAATTACATTCCTTTTACCCCCCCCCAAAAAAAAGTTAATAGAAACGTTTTGTATAAGCAAGCAATTTAATAATACACTAATTATCTACTTACATGAGATCCTTCACAAATAGATGGCATTTTATCACAAGATGAAGTTGAAGCTTGTTCTTGCAAACAAACCTGAAATATATATATAAGAAATTTAGAAATACAGATAATATAAACTACATTCATTTTAAGAAATAATTATTTTACATAACATTTTATAATTCATAAATAGATAATAAATTGTTAACACTCAAAATTCAAAAATAATTCCATAGCACAACAGCCAGATATAGTACAGCTGTTTAGCAACCATAAGACAAACAATTTCATATTTCAGAAATCGTATAAAAATTCATTAATATATGTAAAACATATGACATTTAATAGCTGCTCAAATGAAAACATAGAATAGATTCTTTACTAGCAGCTGTTATTTAATCAGAAGGTAATGCTAAATGTTGTTGCAAACACACCTGAGATGTACTGTAATGTACACATTTGCAACCACTGGTGAAATGAAATAAAGTGCATGATTATGAAGATGGAAACATTTAAAAAAAAACATAGTACAGTTTACGAATAGATGTTAAAAAACTATTAAAATTTTTTAGAAGTGCAAAATGGCAATTTACATCAGATACTTCGGCAGCAAAATTTATTTCTCCAAAATATGAAGCTGAAGGTTGTGGCAAATGAACCTAAAAGAAATTATAATATATGAAATATGTGGAAGTGAAAGAAATTATAAACTCTGATCGGATAAAAATAAATAACAAATAATCATTACCATTTTCAAAGTAACTCAACTTATAAAAAAGCATAAATACATTGGACTGTTCATAGCATTCATACTTCTTAAACATAAGTAAATATTACGTTAATATATTTTTAAATTTTAGAAACAGTGTTAATACTTTTTAGAAAAATTTTCTGGTATTAATGAAATGCAAAATGGTTCCCAAAAAGCCCCGGAGTTATAGTTCCATAATACGAGAAAATGGATATCAATTGTGCGTGCTTCGAATCCTCGCGAGACAAAAATCTGTTAACACCCACATATTTCACTGTGACAGTGACATCAGAAATCTGAGATAGCCAATTCGTAACAATGACCTCCAGGCATCATTTGCCTGCAGAACTGCCATGGAGAGGCATTGGGAGACTAGAGGCAGCACAAAGTGAAACAGAAGTGGCCAGATGGCTAAATGTCAGTCCTTCTGTGGTTCATAGACTTTGAAGGCTATTTCAAATCACAGATTCGGCACCTAGGAGGTTCAGCCAAGGACGGCAAACTGCTACGACTAGCGCCGATGACCGATATTTGACATTATGTGCACTCAGGAATAGAACCGCTACTCCGACGCTTCTTAGATCCTCCCTTGCTGCAGCCACCGGGAGGTTAGTGTCAGCGTCAACTGTGCGTAGAAGGCTTCACGAATGTGGTCTGTATGCGAGGCGAACAACCATTTGCGTGCCGCTTAAGTCACGTCGTAGGAGGGACCATTTGTAGTGGACACGACAACATGTCCACTGGACGCCTGAGCAATGGAGAGCTATTCTCTTTACGGATGAGTTCAGGTTTAGTCTATAAAGCGATAATAGGCGTTATTTGATATGGAGAGAACCTGGAACCTATTATCATCCGTCAAACATCCGTGAAAGAGATGCATAACGGAAGAGGCAGTGTTTGTGTTTGGGGTGGCATCTCTTTGGGTGGAAGCACAGACCTCCATGTTTTTTCAAGGGGAACCGTGAATGCTAATGTTTATAGAGATGGCATCCTTGATGCTTATGTGCGCCCATATGGCGCGGCAATAGGTAATGCTTTCCTGTTACAGGACGACAATGCAAGACCACACAGGGCTCGCATCGTAAATGATTATCTTCAACAGAAAACAATTATTCGCATGGAGTGGCCAGCTCAATCCCCAGACTTGAATCCTATCGAGCACATTTAGGATGCTTTAGGGAGACGTCTAGCTGTTCTCAATCCACCCCCTCAGAGCCTTGCGGCGCTTGCAACTGCTTTGCAAGAGCAATGGCTCTCGCTTTTTATGGAACTGATAGACCGCATAATTGAATGCATCACACATCGCTGTATGTGCTGTATTGCTTCTAGAGGCGATCATATTCCATATTGAAGGTGCTTTTTCGATAGCAAACTGACACCTTCGATTTGTTCATTTTATACATATGCTAATTTCTATACTACTATTTTTGTTTGGTAATTTCTTTTTATGTTATTTGATACCTTACTATGTGTTGTATATTGTGGGTAAGTTTCATTAAATTCTACATGTAACTTTTTCAGTAATCGTGATTTTTGTGATTTTTCCTTAATTTATGATAACCAGTGTAGTAGTAAATATTCAATAACTGTTCAAATGAAGACTTACAACAGATGGCTCAGCAACAGAAATCACTTCAGTTGATAAGGGTGAACTGTGCTGCAAGCCACCCTGAAGATGCACAAATTATGAAACACATATAAGTAAGGATACTTCCAAATGCTGATAAATAAAATATACTTAATGTAATTTTAATAATAAATAATTAAAATAATCCTAATAATTTTTGTTAAATCTTTAAATAAAAAATAACAACATTCAGACAAGACATATAAGACATTAGAATATAGATTTAAATCAATGTATTACTATAATAAGTACAAAGTCGGAAATTCGGACGTTCATTGTCCGGAATGATCTAAAATCCGGACCTGAAAGCCACCAACAACGTTTTCTCATAGGCTTTACGCATACGCATTTGATTCCCCCTCCAAGCATAATAAAACATGTGGAGAGTCCTGATTCTTAATTTCACTTCGACACTAAATAAAATACCTTGTTATTGAAGAAACAGTTATTTTAGCATAAATTTGTACGATCACTAATTTGGTTCCATTGCTGCGTATCTGCTTTGGCACACATCTCAAACCGAAACATTCCACATATATACATTGTTGATTTGACGCCAACCTGGCGAATCATTATTTATTATACTTTCCTTTCATCACCTCATGTTTATCAAAATACGACAACTTGTGTAATGACTCACCTTTTTTCCATGTTAGTAATTAATAAAGGAGTATGGTAAACTTTTATGTTGACATTATGCTTGGTGATGATTACAGATTTAAGTTAAATGCGCTAAAAAAGTTGAGGAGGAAAAATTTACAAAAAATTTCTTTCCATATGCTAAAAATAGATTTTGTTGATGATATTCTTAGACCCAAAGATTACATTTAGGGCTATTTGAATTAATAACTGATTTGTTATTCACATAAATCCAGAACCAGCTGCACGCAGTCGCAGAATTTAGGACCCACAGAGAGGCGGTAAGATATCTAGCGCGGGCCTACAATAAGGCTTAAGTATATGTTGAAATTTATTTATTCAGAACTCTAATAAGCATTAAGCATGTGGAAGAAATAGACATAAGTATAATAAAAAACTAATACAATTCAGGCTTATTTGTCTCAGTGCGCGATAGTAGCAAGATAAAATTTAACAACTTGTCATTAGTCGCCAAGCTCATGATGCATAACCAAATAGGTATAGTGAAGGATAGCTAAATTTGATGAGGATAGCCACTAATTTTAAAGGTTTTCAGATATCGCAAAATAAAGGTGCAATTTTCCAATTAACGGATTTTGTAAAGAAATGTATTTGTCAATTGCATTAATGAATGGCAATCAAGCAATTTGTCATCAAGCAATTAATGAATGGCGAAATCTGTAGTATGGTTCTAAATCCAGAAAAAACCGCTACCGATAGTGAAGAAAGTGACAGAGAAGTTACTGAAAACAATTGACATGTTATTTGGAATGCTGAAAACAGCAGTTACAGGACTTCAACAATGCAACTAAACAAGAGATTATATCTGTCTACAGAAATTAAAGATAAAGTATTAGCACAAAAGACGGAGCAACTTAAACAACTTACATTGAAAGAAATGTTTAATAAGGTAAACAAAAAATTATTAAGCTTTTTTTTTTTTTTTTTTGTAAATTTTGATACCCTTTAGATCATAAATACTTCATTATTTCATAAATCATGATTTCATATTTTTAATTTTATAATTTCTGCATGCCATCTTACTAGATTTAAACTGATGATCTAAGTATCCGGAAAAATCCCAAATCCGGAATCGCCGAAATCACAACGAGTCTGGATTTTGGACTTTGTACAGTACCATATTATTGTATTACTCAAGAATAAAGTTAATAATTTCAGTATAATTTCTTTTACTTACTCCATGCATATTCCCCTCTATTTATCTAGAATTTAAAATTAAGCAAAAAAGCAACTTTAGGTTAATACAGATTTTGATTTAAACTCTTTTGACTTTGAAGGCAATCAGGTACAGATTTCTCTCTTTCAGGAGCAAATTTGAAGAAAACAGACCCATGTATGACTGTCCTCGAAAAACTACAAAAAAATTATCCAAAAACTACAAAACCTTTATTCAAAAACTACATCAAATTGAGGTTTTATGCCTAATTTTAAATATATGATTATAATAACAAAGTACATATTTAATTATATATATAATAACAGCAAAATTTTAGCCAACATTATGAATTATTATCTTGTTAAAAATTTTAAATTTTTAATCAAATATTAGGTACTGTAATTACAGCTTTATCACATAATGCCCTTAAGGGGACTCATACACCTTAAAACCCATAAGATCTTCGAATAGGTGACTGTTGCAAGAATTGGGATAACTTATTTATTTTAAAAGCAATCACTTCCAACTTTTTACAGCTGACTACATAATATAGCTGCTTTCTGAAATAGTCATCAGAAAGTTTGTGTTGCCACAAATATTTTTATAATTTAATCCGCTTTTTGGCAACATTTTCCGTCATGTTTCCATCTTGCGTGTACAGTTTAAAATATTCTGTTGCATAATTTAATTCCATATTTAGTATATAGCTTTTATAATATTTCGAAACTACTGTGAACCTAAAATTCTAAAAATTTCTTGTTAAATTTTTATTTTATTTGGTGTTGGGGTTATAAAATGTATTTTTTTAAAAAAATTTGTAATGTTTTCGTCCATAAAATATTTCAGTATTAAAATATTTATCATACTTTCGGTTTAGATAGAAAATAGTGCCCATATAAAGAATTCCATCCAATTTCAAGTATGTACCATTAGCCATTTTTAAAATATCATGCGCGCAAGGTGGAAATATGGCGAAATATTTTGTCACAAAGAGGATTAAATTACAAAAATATTTGTGGCAACACAAACTTTCTGGTTACTAGTTTCCAAAGCAGCTGTATTATGTAGTCAGTTGTAAAAGGTCGTAAGCAAGTGCTTTTAAATTAAATAAAATATCCCAATTCTTGCAACAGTCACATATTTGAAGATCATGAGGGGTTTAAGGTGTATGAGCCCCCTTAATTTCAATATTTTGGTTCTATTATAAAGCAACTTAGCCCATTTGCAATAAAAAAAAAACATATTTTTAAGAAAACCATAAAAATAAAAAACACATACATTACAAAAATTCGATGTAACTGAATGGTGCTTTGGTAAACCAATGGCTACGCTGTGGGGTCAACAGTTGTGGGGGATTAGGCACATTGAAAAGAGTTGGCACAGCATTGGGCTTTAGTTTTTTACGCCCATCTTGCCTAGAGCATTCAAATTGATTTTCTTCAAAATGTACCTGCGAATTTAACAAAAGCATGCATGAAATTTAACATTAAAATCAAAAGCACTAGTATTTAATTACAGTTACATATATTAATTTAAGAATGAAATTTTCTGATAAATTTTAATTTTTACACGAAAATAGAACAAATTTTTAAAAAAGTAATAATGGTTGTAAAACTACTTAAAACATATTTCCTGCTCACACGCTGAAAATAAATTTAAAGTACCTATAGTTAAAAATACAACACGAAGATTTACTACTACAATAAAGTGTAATAATGGGATCAAAAAGATTCATCGAATATTTAAATTAATATTTAACTTCATCAAAATGCCTAAAAATACAGAATATATTTATCTTACTATAAAGAAAAAAAAAAACAAAATCATTTATTATTTGGATCATACCATCCAGTTTTTAACATTGGCGCCAACTATCCGATTTGGCGACAATCAGAATCAAAAATAGAATGCTACTTTAAATCACCAATCGTACAGTAAAATTAAAAAAAAAGAAAAAAAAAAAGGCGCACATCACATTTCTAACTGAGCACAAAGTTTACATGAAATGTATGATACAAATTTTACAAACGGTATAAACTTTTCACGATAACAAAAGAAACAACATGAAACAACGATATTTTACTGCACAAACACATACACATTCCGCAGTTGATTTTGTACTTATAAAATCAGTTGATCGTCAATACGTGACAGTTAAATGAAAATATATATTTTGAAGAAATACGAAGAGTAATTTTTCTAACATTCTACGGAAAAATACGAAGCTGAACTTACCTCACAACGATACGCTCCTGGGCCGCGAATCCATTGATCTCGACGAGAATTAACTATCCATTTTCTTCGTCTTTCTTCATTTCTGGGGAAACGAAACATCCTAAAGTTATTTTTGGACTGATTCGAACAGTTTGGTGCAGCACCCCATCCATATTTCTGAAAATTAGGTCGGAATCGATCCAGAAATATGCCAACAAAACAGTGTTAATCCAATAGTGAATAGCAACAAGTTAGTTTCAAAATGGATGACGATTCAGCTCCACTTTATAGTAGCCTTATCTGTGACCCAGATTAGATATCAGTATATAAATTGAACATGTTGTCATTGCAATCATCCCGAGTAGGAAAAACTACCTCGAATGGCCTGTCAAACACGTTAAGTCATTTCCATGATGCCTGAAGACATCAGGAGAGTAGGATCATGAATTTTCTTCTTAGTAAATACTGATATGACCTTTAGCAGTAGGCTTGTCATTCATTTTGCAGCATCATTCTAGCAACACTGCAAATGAAGATGTCCAAGGGAGTCGGATCTAATATGCTCTCTAGTGCTCTGGTAGGTATTGAGGGCATTGCGCCTCTGATATACAGTCATGGCAATCTTTGAAGGACTTTCTAGCCTGTCCTTCACAGTACTCTGCTCCACTTTGCACCACCAGATCACAGAGGCATAAGTAATAATAGGTCTGATAATTTCAGTATACATCCAAAACATCCCAATCTCGGTTTTTACCAAGCGTACATCTGCACGTCATGATGCTTTTTTTGCTTGATTAATTTTATAATCTACATGCTTATTCCAGGTGAGCTTTTGGTCAAGGTATATTACAGTATAATATAATCCTAAATGCTTCACCCCAGAGGTCATGTTGATCTGGACATCAAAGAGGTTTTTAATAAGGGGGGAAAAATCCCATTTTCTTCTACGTGTGAATGGTAAAGATTGGTTTTCTGCAGACTCACCTTCAGATCCCTCTCTATGCACAATATACATACATAATGCATTTGGCATAAGTTGACAAGTTACGTTAAAATCTTTACTAAGGATGCGTATGGCAATGTCATCTGCGTAGTCTTTTGTGCAGTAGTTATGGTCATTTAGGTAGTTGAAGCTATTTACTACTAGGTTCCAAACAAATGGTAATAGCACACCTCCTTCTGGTAAGCCTTTGGTAGTTTTTTTTTTCAAGTGATTCATCAAAGGTGTTCATTTGAATAACTCTATCTGAAAGCAAGGTCTCAATCAATGCACATAAAATATGGTTAATCCCCTTGTCCCTCAAAGCATTAAGGATGGATAGATGTGGAGTATTATCAAAGACACCATGTATGTTAAGAAAGATGGCCGAGGGCAATTTGCTTTCTATCCAGAGCGTCTTCAGTCTTAGAAACAAACTGATGTAATGCTGTTTCTGTGAATTTACCTGGTTGATACAGCAAATTGTAGGTTATAGAAGAGATTGTAATTATCCGGGTATTCTCTAATATGCCTATCAATTATTTGCTGCATAATTTTAAGAAAGAATGAAGAAAAGCTGATAAGTCTGAAAATTTAGCTAGGTCATAGTTATTTTTGCCAGGTTTAGGAATGAAAACAATCCTAGTCTTCTGCCATAGCTTCGGAATTTATAGTCAGCGCTGGGATAATGATTTCCTCTGCCTTTTGGATCATGATGGGCATAATTCCATCAGGTTCAGGGCTTTTGGTGGTACTGTTACTTTACTGTTATGTGGCAAGAAAAATGCTCATTATAAAGAATAAAAAAAACAAATTTATTTACAGAAACGCGGGCTCGTTTCAAGCTGCTGTTTCATATACCGCGACCTCGCGATAAAAGAACACGCTGTGGCCAATCAATTGAAGCTGAGTTTATTAAAAGATTTGGCTCGTCAGTAGTCAGCAGCAGTACCCTAGTTTGCATTATAACTATTGCTGTGTTTCATCACATTAAGCTTAGAACTTATGGAACACATCTGTTGTTTAATTAATTGTTACTACAGAACTTAAAATAAACTTTGGAAGTGTGGGGTTTTCTTTTTGCACGTTTTTATTTTTGCACCAGAATTTAAAAACAAAATTATGAATTGTTGTTTATTAGTTATTTAATTGTGTTACAATATTAATTATATATTAAATTGTGTTTCAATATTAATTACATATTTAATTGTGTTACAATATAGTAATACTAATATGCTTTCGATATAAGTTCTGTGTTTGCTTGTTTCTGTGCAGTCTGATATTTGTAATATGTTATTTGAATGACAAAAAAAAAAAAAAAAGTTTATGTGTGTCAGTGTTAACAGTATTTCAAATTGTATCAGTGTTAACAATATGCATAAAGAGTATTTCAAATTATAGAAATCATTATTATATTATGTCTTGTAGGTACCAGTTTTAAATGTAGGGGGAGATGAGCATGAAATTGATCCTATTTTGTTGTGGAATGCTTTTCAAAGAGTTGTTAAGAAGTGCATGGAGTGTAAGTCACCGTTTTTTTTGCATACCATGCTCTGAGCTCGTAATTTTTTAAAAAAAGTATTGATAAGAAAATTTTCCAGTTAAATGACATATTTCTTTATTTTTAACAAAAAAGTAATTAAAAATTGAAACAATTTGTTGGTCAAAATAAACTTTATTATAGCTTGTAAAGTCTTATATTCTTAGGAAGCATACAGTATTGACTTTAAGACGACTCTAAAAAAATTATCTTCTAGTCTTGTGAAACAAAAGTCAGAAGAAGGGTGTATAAGACCTTTTTATTTGAAAACAAAGAAGTAACAATGACCCAACTTGGATTTAATTAAGCCAACACTTCTGGTTTAACTTAAATACGTAATATTGAACTAAATGAAATGTAATAGATTAGCCTCACAGGATAAAGTAACGCACAGAAATGGCTCTTGTTTGTAGGAAACCGGCGAGACAAACCAAATGGCTAGAAGCACTTAACATTTCAGAATTAAGTCGCTAATAAGTCACAGTACAACATGGCCTCAAGTTGGCAGAACACGCTCAAAAATTAACTTGGGAAACCTTCGCTTAAATAGTACTTCTTTCTCCCTCAATCTGAATCAACGCTCGCTATCGCATTTACATTCTGGGTTGAAAAGCGTGGGTAAACTGAGAGTGATAGGAAAGGGATTTAACTTAAAATTAACTATTAGTTAAAAATAAGTAGATAAATCCTCATATCTTTCCCTGCCAGAATTAAGTACAGGAAAAAGAGGCCCTTAACGACCTCGTTAAGAACTTAAATTCTAACTATATAAGCTACCTAACCTTACCAGAGCCCACGCCTTACAATAAAATGAGGTTCTGAATGTAATTTAAGTGTAAAAAGAAAATTTTCTGTATACATTCTTCATTCTCAGTCAGATGTACAATTTTTCCGCAGCTCACATTCTACAAGCATGATATATAATTTTCACAAAACATTTCCTTTAATTTTCTCTACACTTTCATGCCACACATTTATTCCACAATTAAATCTCTTCCCCCATTGCTCTCCAGAAGAATTGGGAGTCTAATAGCGAAACAGTGTTTTTTGTCTTGGGTTTACAGACACTACTAACTAAGCAACAATCTACGTATTAATAGTCCTTAACACTCGAGACCTCAAAGACACCCTGTTTTCAAAACTGCACTTATTGGGTTAACAAGAGCGTGATTTGAACTTGACTGTTAGCTGGAGAGCCTCCCATGCACACAGCTAATTTTATTTTTAACTTAATTTTTCTCAATTTGATAGCTTGCACATCACATTTCATTCATACAATATAATTAAATTCTTACAACTAGGCAAGTCTTATTAAAGTAAACATGTATATCTGCGAATACTTTTCACAATAAAACATAAAATATAATACATTGAATAAAAGTAGTTACAGTAGAATTCAGCTTGCACTTTACATCGAGATACACGAGTTGCTTTGAAATTCTGAAGATTTGCACTCTCGTTTCCAGATCGCAGTGTCTCAGACTAAAATTGCATTCTTATTTCTCGAGTAACATTAAAGTAAACATAGATAGCTACAATTTTTGCTCTTTAAATGAACTAAAATAACCTCACTTGAGGTAAAACGTAAAGAAATATAGCAACTAGTCCTTCTGAAAATAAAATTGAACTTACCTTTTCGATCTTTAGTACACCTCCATACGTCTCTTGACAAACACTTTCCAGCTTTCCAACGCTTCTATCTCTCTGACCTTTTAGGCATTGGCAGCTTTCCTGATCTCCACTGAATTTCTACTTCGTTGCCGCATCCAGGAGCCTTGGGATTTTCGTCCGGAGCTGGCGGCAATCGGCTGCGTCGGTCACTTGCTTCCGCTTTATGGAACTCTCCGGTAGTCTTTCCTTTTCTTGCTCATGCAGTCGGCCACGCTGGATTTTCCATGGCGCCTCCGCAGCTTGTTCCTTAGCAGTCTTGACGTGGGATCTTCTTTGCAGGCCGTAGCTGCTTTTCGTGGTATTCGCATTATCGCCTTGATTTTCCTGTAAAATACTTTTAAATATTTCTATTTTATTTTTATTATAGTAAGGTTCAAGTTTGATCTACATTTGCAACTACTTATTCCCCATCTTTACTTGCCAAATATACCACAGCTTCCCTAATTCCTTCGATGAAGTATGGACATTGGAATTTTGGACACAATTTGGCACTTCGCTTGCCGCCTGCCGATGATAACGAATGCTTAATTTTTAGCACCTCATCTCCCACTTTATAATGAGCTTCCCTCCGATGTCTATCGTAATATACCTTGTTTCTCCCTTGCCATGTCTGAATTTTCAACTGCTTCATCTCTTAGTTTTTGGATATAATTCATTTGAAATTCCGGGGCTTTCTTCTGTACAAAGAATAATTTGTCCAGCGGAGTAATTAACTTCCGGCCTAAGAATAGCTGAGGTGGACTTTTCACCGTGGTATCATGCTTCGCTGTTCGTAATGCATACGCTAACTCATTGACCCCGCTATCCCAGCGCTTATGATAATTTGTCACGTAACATTGTGTTATTTTCACTATATTCTTGTGTGTACATGTTCAGCTACGTTGGATTGCGGCTGATAAGGTACTATTTTTTTAGTGGCATATGCTAAGTCCTGTACAGCCCTTCAAATATTTGGGACACTGTTTACCGTTATCGGAAATTAATTTTAACGGTGCTCCGTATTTTTAAGACTTATTTATTTAAAAACGAGTCAGTTACTGTTTTAGCCGAGGTTCTTCTCAAGGGAACTATTTCAACCCATTTAGAAAAATGCTCTTGCTCTAACAAGTAAATAACGATTTTTATTTATTTGGCTGCGACCCAACAAATGGATTGGAAATGAGCCCAACAAGTCCATCCCGGATTCGTTAGGGAATGCTGCTTTTATATTTTTTAAGTACCCATCCGGGCTATAGTCAACTTCGTTATTTACTTGGCAAATATGCCAGGAACTGACTACGCAGTTACGAATTTCTGCGACTGTGGAAAATACACAGCCTCACGAACTCCTCATACTGTTTTTCTGATTTCCAGGTGGATAAGCATGGGCGAATTATGTAATTCATTTAAAATGTTTAACCTTAACGTCCCTGGGATAACCGGTCTGAGTTCATAAATTTGATTTGTAGATTTTGAATAAAACACGAGATTGTCAAGACTGTAATTTTCGGCTCTATTTTGTATTGCCCGTAATGTCTGGGTGTTCAAAATCAACCGGATCCTTTAGGTAAAAATAAATATTTTAAAATTCGGGATCCCTTTTCTATTCTTCAATAATTGTCTCTCGTGAGTCAGTTATTTTTTATGTCAACATAGTGCATTTTAGTGTATTGCCTTCATCATCTAACTTTATTCTTGACAGCGCATGAGCCACAATGTTTTCTTTACCCGGGATATGTTTTATAATTAAACTCTTGAAGTTTAAGTGTCCAACAGATCAATCTTGGCGACAATTTTTTTCCTGAATATAAACGTCCTACGGCCGCATGATCTGAATAAACTGTAATCGTCTATTTGCCAAAATACACTCGGAACTTTTTTACTGCTAATAAAACTGCGAGCATTTCTCTCCCGGTAGTAGTGCAATTCCTCTGTGTGTGATTTAGTGTTTTATTAGAATTCGCCACTAGCCTTCGTGTTGCATGAGGACCGCACCCATTGCATAATCTGAGGCGTCTGCTGAAATTTCTAAGTCTTCGTCGCATTTCGAGAATTATAGCACGGTGGCTTTCGAGGAGTACCTCTTTTAATTTTTCAAACGCCGTATGGGCCTCGGTTTCCCAGTTAAAGCCGGTTTTCTATCTTTTTTAACTGTAACAACGGTTCTGCAATTTGAGCGAAGTATTTAATAAACGTCTTATAGTAAGAAAACATACCTAAGAAGGAAGAAAGTTTCTTTGTAGTCTTTGGCGGAGGGTAATTTTTAATCGCAATTATTTTTAAATATTTTGTTTTTATGCCTTTACTAGATATTTTGTAGCCTAGAAATCGAAGTTCTGGAGCAGTGAACTTGCATTTGGCGGCATTAATTTTTAGTCCGACTTCATTTAGAAGCGAAATCTTCGTGTAAATCTTTTATATGTTGCTGGATAGTTTCATATGTTGTTATAATATCATCTAAATGAATGAAAGTACTTTTTCCGAGGACTGGCCGCAAGATCGTGTCCATGGCTCTTTGTAAAGTGGCAGGTGCTTCACATAATTCAGATGGCATTAAGAAAAGCGTAGACACCGGATTTTGTGATAAATACAGTTTTAGGTACATCTTCAGGCTTCACGCCAATCTGAAAATATCCGGATGTAAGATCTAAAGTCGTCATGAATTTTGTCGATTTAATTTTTCGAATTATTTCGTCAATTATGGGCAAGGGATAGACAGGTTACTTTGTAATAGAATTCAGTTTTCTGTAATCTACGGCGAAAAACCATGCTTTGTGCTTATTAGGTGGGAGATTGTTTTTTTTTTTTTTTTTTTTTTTTTTTTTTTTTTAATTTCCCACGGTGCTAGAATACGGACTACTCATTAGGTGTAATTATATTTTTTGTTTTAACATTTCTTCTATATGTTTCTCAATTATTTTTTCTTTAACCGTATTATACCGATATGGTTTACTCCTCACGGGGGCCGCATTACCGGTTTTAATTTGCCTTATCGTCAAAAAGATTTGAAAATTCGCTTACCACCGTTTCAAACTTCTTTTACTCTTCGGGCTACGGATATTCCAAAGCGAGCTGCGGTGGCTGGACTTCGTCTTCTTCGATTTTCTTCATCTGTAACTGTAGGACAGAATCACAAAAATTAAGATGAGCCCTTGCCTCTTTTAAGAAGTCTACCCCTAGAATTACGGCTGCTTGTAAGTTTCGTACTACAAAGAAAATTACCTTGATAAATTCATCTTTTACCAGCACAATTCAATAATATTTTACCGATGCATTTGCATTGTTTTCCTTGTGCGGCAATGACCTCACCGCCTAATGTAAAAAGGGTACTTACGTATTATCGCAACCAGGTTGGCGCGATTTGTAAGTTTGAGTAAAAAAGTATGAATAGAAAGAAAATGTACATTTATTAATTACAGATAATTTTTAATACAGTTTTTTATATTATTTTGTTTTAAAATACAAAATAGCAATTAAACCCTTCCGGTTTCGAATTTGAATAAGTTGCAGAATTATTTTTTCGGCGGAAATCTTTTGGCTATTGCTTTTAGCACTGATTGAAAACCGTCTTCGCCATTAACAGCTTGAGCTTGGCGCCATATAAATTCGATAAGGTATGAGTCAAGATGATGACGGGCTGTTCCTCTCTGTTTTTTGTTGCGCCATTTGGCTGAGTTTCATTTTATGAGAATTTTTACAAGTACTTTCGTTCGGTATAATTCCATATCCCTGCAACAATTCAACAGCATCTTTTTCACTCGCAGGCAGATCCCAAATACCCATAGTTAAAGTATTTCAGGGCATTCAATCTAACCAGTAAGAAAAATAATTTCTTTACGAAAAACTACGTATAACACGTAGGGTTTCCGTAAGTAGGGTCGCCAAATTTGGCGATTTTGCGAATTTTGGCCTGGTTGCGTTAATACGTAAGTACCATAAAAAGTCTATGTTTAGGAAATGATTTTTTTGAAGAAAGTTTCCGAAATGAAACTGCATTGAGCTCCGGTATCAATGAGAGTTTCAGCAGTGATGTTATTTAGCAAACTTTGCACTATTGCCAGTTTGAAATTTCTTATTAATACAGTATTTAATTTAATTTCTGAGGGATTTTCAATATTCTAAGGTGACTGCACCCTCTTCCAAGCACCCCATTACAGTTTAACTCGTCTCTCTGGATTTCGTTTACTTCTTTTCTGCCCCCGCTATTCCCGGTTGAATTTTTTTTCTTTCTTATCAAATTTCTTCTTCGGCCCAAACTGAGGTTTTTGTTGAGACATGGGCTTCGCTCTTTTGGCCTCGCACCGTACCATGTCATTCGACTTTTTTTCTGCCACGCGTCGATTTTAAAACTTCTTGGCTGATTTAAATAAATTTTGCAATGTTGTTGGATTTCGAAGCTTGTAGTAGTCTTGAGCTTGGGGTAGGAGTCGCGGCAGAATTATTTAAATTATTTCTTCATCTCGCTTCTTGCTTTACAATAAATTAAAAATTTGGACTTTCCTCAAGATAAAATCCGTCCGGTCTACGATTTTATAGTGGAATTTTGCTAAGTAGCTCTAACTCGAGCTTGGCTGTATTCTTCGCTATGGGGAATGCTTTAATTAATGCATTCTTAAAGTTTTCGAAGTTGTAGCTTTTGCTACCAGGCTCACCCAAGACAAATTTGCCTATGAATTTATACCACGTAGAAGCTTGGCCTTTAAGGGTGGACGTGACAGTAGAAACTTTCTGTGCTTCTTGAAATGGATGCAGCAGAAAATGTGAGTTGAAACTCTTCAAGAAAACTTAAGACTGAGGCTGTTAACAAGATGCCAAAAAATCTCATAGCTGAAACTTCATTCATTAGGTAATGTGAATAAAATAAACTGAGAAACAATGTAAATGTTTCTTATAATATTGCGGTTTGAAGTTGTTTTTGTTTTCTTCGGAGACCAGTACTTACATTAATTTTTTATTGCTTATACATCTAGCGTGAATGTTTATAAAATTTAGTTGCTGAAATACTGCTTGATGTATATGAGCAATAATTTCTTCATTTGCAAGGTGTCTTTCATGGATACTCTGAAGAACAAGTTTTCTTCTTTTCGTAGTTCTTCTTTACAGGATTGTATTATACCTCACTGCTCCCAATTTTTGTAATGTATGTCATGCTACATAAATTTACATAGTTATGTAAATGTTATGCTTTTATAGTTTTGAGGTTGAGCTTTTTTCTGTGTATTGCTTTGTTTTTATTTCTATTAAGAGCAGAAGTTCACATCCTTTCATTTCAATTATGACAAAGACACAGATCATCATCAGAAATCGCCACATTTTAAAATTTATTTAAGTAAATATTAAAAAACTGAACAGAAATATGTGTGTTTCATGTACGTTATTACTTTAAATGTTTTAATTGCAAGTAAGTTGTTCATTTATTTATTTGATAAAATTTGAAGACAAAAAACTGGATGCTACTAACATGCAAGTTCAGCTGTGCATTTTATGCACATAGATATTATAAATTATAGATCAGCTATCTTTCTTACTACTCAGAAATGTTCATATTTGTGTTTTTGATTGATTAAATACTTTTGGAAATTAAAAAAAAAAAAAAAAAAAAGAGTTGAAAAAATTGCATGTTATGCTAAGCTATTGAATAAATAAAACCCTTTTGTCTTCTTAAAACCTGCTGTTATGTAGTGTTTTTATTACCTAATCTTTAAACTATGTATTATTTACAAAAATAATTAAGTAGGTATTTTTTCTAGGAATTTTCTTCATCAAATGGCTTAAATTACACATGATTTGTATTGCTTAATAATAACATTGAGAATTGTAATTCTCTTTTAGTTTACCGTAATATCTCATTCACAATTATAAATCTAATAACTTGACTCTCATGGAACCATTCCACAAAGTCTCTCACTCTTTTTTTATTGACAACTTTGAAATAAAAAAACTGTATTTGTGTTCATTCACAAACAGCACTTTTTGAAAATTAATCCCATGTATGCATTAAATAAAGTAAAACTGATTTGATCTTTAAAAACAATGGTATTAAATAACGATATACTGTATTTTTGGTTCTTGGTAACCTTCTCAAGCATTTTCATGTTCATTTGTTTCTAGTAAACTAGACTTGTTTCTGTATTTTGTGAATTAATTTTTAGGTTGCAATCTTAATGCTGAAGACGTGTCATGCTTAGGTATCTCTTCACAAAGGGGTACTTTTTTGACATGGGATAGGTAAAGAATTGTTGCATTCTTTGTATTTTTTATTTTCTTCTGCCACTTAAATTTACTTCAATAATGTGTGTAATATTTCAATCAGAGAAACAAGTGTCCCATTTCACAACTTTATTACATGGAAAGACAAACGAGCTGAGAGTAATTGCAACTCATGGAATTCTTCGTTTAGCATGAAAGTAAGTTATTTATAGTAAACTGATTAACTGATCAAGTTAAGAAAAATACCATGACTTTTGTAAATTTTTTCTGTGTACTGTAGAATTTTTAAGTTAAAGTTTTTGGGGCTTTTATTATCTCATTTGTATTGAAGTTATTTTTTACCTTTACTTCTTGCAACTATAATTCGCTGAACTGTCGGTTTCTATTTTTGGTATTTATTATGTTGCCAGCTGAAATCTGGAAAAATTTATGTACTGAACAGTGCAAAATTCGATTTCAAAAGCAAAGTGTTATCTGGGAGTTTAGAACTGATAAAATTTCTTAATGTACTATGACATTGCATTAGGAAATCTAGATAGTAGTACTAGGTTGCATGTGATTTGAACAGCATACATAGGTTTAATTATTGTTAAATTTCTTTGCTAAGAAATGGATATTTTTACAATAATTTTCATAAAAACTGCTTAGGAAGATAATGGTATTAAAGTAGATTGTGCTTAGCATGTCAAGTTGATTAAGGACTCAAATTCCGCTAAAACACCAAACTGATACTAGTTGTTTTCATTGCCCTAGATTTTAGTTAATATATTAGTTATAAATTTTTCATTTTTGTTTTTTTGAGAGATTATGTCAATGTATAATAAACATATTGCAGGGTTTTGTTTCATAAATTGTCATTATGTAGTAAGACTTAATTTTTTTGGCGAAGGTAAGAGTAAGTGATTAAAATTCTTTAGTATGCATCAGTAGTGAATGTAGAGTAATTTGGAACAGCGAAAATTGTGAATAGAAATGTGTCACTATTGAGTTCAGGCGTGTCTAACTCATATCAAGTGGGCTAGTCATCAGTGCAGGATAGTGTTTTCCCTGCCCTAAAAAAGCCATTCTCTTATTTAAATGATTTATTGAGAAAGAGTTCAGATGTAAAACCTTCCCTAATACTATAGTTTTTTTTTTTTTTTAAACATAGAAGGGCATAAAGGTACCGATATAATAGATGGATATCTATTATTTCTTTCCCACCTGTGAGTTTGACATGCCTAAGCTCTAGGCATGAACTAAAGTCTAGTTCTTGACTGATAGTGACCTGCATACTTTTATCAGTGCAGGTTATGAATATACAGAGATTATGTTCTTGATCTTTATGTCAAATTGTTTAGGGGTGCAGTCAGCAGTAACTTTCTCCTAATGGATGCTAATGCTCATCATCATTAAACAACCAGTTTTTTTTGACGGGAAAGGAATTCAGCAGAGGAAATGCCCTGCATATTATGGACATGTGTGACATGCAGTAGGATGCCAACTTGCATTGCTGCAGCTTGTAACTGGCACACTCCTGGAGCTTCAAGGTGCTTTTCATCATGAATAGACTTTGTGAGTGTGTGATTATGGCAAAGCCTTGAGAGATATCTGTCTAAGGAGAGGGATGCCTTTGTGGAGGATTTTCTAAGGGAAACTGACTCGTATACACGTTACACGCGGGTAAAACCACGAAAACGCCCATGCAGCCAGCCCGTTCGCTGAATTCGAGCCTTGGACTGAACTACCAGGAATAGACTTTGTTATCATAAGTTATTGACTCTTTGACAACCTAATACATAGCATGGAAAGTTTTCATTTCAGTGAGGGAAATCACACACCTTATTAATTTTTTCTATGTGTCTCTAAAAAGTAGTAATAGCAACTTTTCTCAATCTAACTTTATATCACATTTTTTTTAAAGTTCTTATTTGAATTTACTTTTTTATTGAAATATCCGATTCTGTGTTTTGAAGTCAGGCATAATAAAATAAAGATGTGTAAGTTCCATGTTCTTAGCTGTAAAATCTTTCAAGATGTGTGTGAGTTCTTATAGTTGTTCCTGTAATTTTTCCCAGCAGTGTACATGTTGTTGATGCAAATATATCCCACTTTGATGTGTAATAGAAGGAGATAGATTGTTTCAGGATCCAAAATTGTTCTGTTTATAATATAAATTTTTCTGTGTTAGTGATACTCTTTAGGCCATACTTTTAGGTAAAATGATTTAAACTGGCAGTACAGTTCGCAGAGCAAACATAGTATTGCTATAATATAGAACTATGCTTGATTACATTCTACACAGTGCCAAAGGAGAAAGTTCTTATGTAGTACTAATTATTTTAAATCACCATTAATATTTCCACTTATATTTTTCATATCGTATTTTTTGTGGGAGGATATTTAGATTTTAATTGATTTCTACAACAGAGTGCTTTATGTAGCCAAAGTAGAAAGTTCTTATGTAGTACCAGTTATTTTAAATCACCATTAATATTTCAACTTACAGGGGTTGGACAAAAATATGGAAACACCTATAAAAAACATGTTTCTTTGCTTAATATGGTGTAGGAAATGCGTTGGCATCCAAAACAGCTTGCAGTCTTCTCGGAATGGATAAATACAGTTCCTGTATGTTTGCCAAGGAAAATATTATACCATTCTTCCTGCAAAACGGTGGCAAGTTCAGATAACAATGTTGGCGGTGGATAACGAGAACGCACTTTCCGTTCCAATGTAGACCACAAAGGTTCGATAATATTCAGGTCTGGTGACTGTGGTGGCCAGGGGAGATGGGACAACGCATCCTCGTGCTCAGAAAACCAGTCCTGGACAATGTGAGCTGTGTGAACAGGGGTTTTGTCGTCTTGGAAGATACCATCACCATCGGGGGAACAAAGTTTGTACCATGAGATGAACTTGATCAGCCAAAATGTTCACATAAGTCTTGGCAGTCATGTGCCCTGACACAGTTATCATGGGGATAGCAGAGAACCACGATATGGCTGCCCAAACCATAACAGAACCCCTGCCATGTTTCACTCTTGGCAACAAGCAGTCTGTATTATAGGCTTGAGATGGCGTTTTCCAGACTTAAACTCGGCCAGAAGTGGGAAACAATGTGAAAGAAGACTCGTCAGACCATATTACTCGCTTCCACTGCTCTATAGTCCAGGCCTTTATGACTTAAACACCACCTTTTCCTGTTACGGGCATTAGCATCACTGATGAGTGGCTTCTCAATTGCAGCACGGCCAGCAATTCCCTGTTTATGAAGCTCCCTTCTAATTGTTTTGGTACTCGCAGGGTTTGGTAACACAACATTCATTTCAGCAGTAACTTTTGCAGCTGTGGTCTTCTTATTTTTCGTCACAATTGCCCTTAATGATCGTCTGTCACGATCACTGAGGACACACACTTTCATCCGCGCTGTGATTTAGCAGATGATAGTTTTTTTCCCGCTTTTTCAATATGCGGAATAAATCTTTCGATACAGTACCTCTTGAAACACTAAACACCTCGGGCTACCTTGCTTACGGAAGCACCTACCATACGTGCTCCAACAATTTGCCCACGTTCGAAGTCTGTTAACTCTGACATAATGCAATGACAACCTCACATAACAGTACTCTGACAACACTGAAACTGTTTACCACATTTACGAAGTTGTATAGGTGGCGTCAGTAGTCAAAATCGCCAGCGCCACCTACATAGTTCATTAAAATAAATCTTTCTTTTCAAACATGCATTTCACAAGGTGTTTCCATATTTTTGTCCATCCACTGTATATTTTTCATATCGTATTTTTTGTGGGAGGATATTTAGATTTTAATTGATTTCTTCTGCATGTGACTGATGGGACTTTATTTCTGTTAGTTAGAAGTGCACTTGGTCAGTGGTTATAGTTGACTTGCAATAGGAAGCAGGGGATAAAAATCCCAATTAGAATACAGTGGAACTCGAGATACTAGTTTAATTCGTTCCAACATTGAGCTCGTATAGCGAATTTCTCATATCTAAAAACAAACTTCTCCATTGAAAATAATGGAAATCCAGTTAATCCGCTCTGCACCCCCAAAAATATCAACATAAAAATCAATTTTTCTAATAACTAACACTGATAAATAATATAACCGTAGTTTACCTTTGTGATAGCTTCCGACACTGACCTTTTTAACTGCTTCTCGTTAATCCGCACCAACAACCTTTCAACATCTTCTAGGAGTTTTGGATGGTGCTTGGAAGTAACGGTAACTCCTCTGACTACATCAAGTTTTTAAATTTCTCTCTGCATCTTCAGAACACTGCAGATCGTCAATGTTAAAAGTCCGCAAGTCTTCGCCAATTCCATCACACTTACACTATGCTTATTTATCTATGATTTCTTTCTTAATTTCAACGGCCATGGCTTCCTTATTTTTCTTTGCAGCATTATCTGAGGCGACAATCTTCTTGTATTTTTATTTTCTTGTATTTGGGAGGCATCATGAAATAATAATTTTCACATTAAACGTAATAAACAATAAACTCACAAGCGCACATTCACATAGATCTAAAACCACTGAGTGATCTAATGAGGGGATACCCCGAGTTGATCCGGATCACGAAATGGCACCACACATACCAACAGCGTTGCACGTTACTCAAGTCAGTGCTCGTATTTAGAGACAAATTTTTCGCTTATACTTTCTTCGTATTTTGAATTTCTCACATACAGGGGTGCTCGTATCTCAAGGTTCCACTGCATGAAAGCAATTCATTTCTTGGAACTTCAGTGTACCTAGACATGTAGGTGTATTGAAGACCTATAGTATACATTTAGATATAGGATATATAGAATTTTAAATGACCACAGATTCTTCAAAAGTATATACATAATGTTAACTGATATCAGGAAGTGATTTCACTCAAAAAAAAAAAAAAAAAGAAAAAGTTTAAAATTTTGGATATTTATCTGAAATAAGCAGTCATAAATATTAAAAAAATTAATCTTATTTATTCAATAGTAAATTCTTTGTTAACTACTGGTATCAAGAGGGCAAGGCCTTTTGGTCTTGGGCTATAGAAAACTCGGATAACAGAGGAACTTGATCCCAAACGAGTAACATTTCAAAGTGCTATTTCCGTTGAAAAGGTCTTTTCCATTTTTAGAAAACAGTGGTAAAACAATGCTTTCTGAAGGGAAAAAAAAAAAAAAATTGCAGCCACTGGACTTTAAATGATTAGTGATTTCTGGTCTTTAAAAGTGAATCAGATAACTGTTTAGTACTTTGCCATTATCAGTTAAGCAGCAGCAGATGTAGAATAGAATCAGCTTACTGAGAACCAAAGTTTTCTTATTCTTAGATGAATACTTTTCAGACCTAGATCTTTTTGGCTTGGTAATCTGAAATTCACTTGTGAAGTAATTAGCTGATTATGGAATTATTTTAACTTGCAGTTTCTTTCTGTAGCGGCAACTTACAATGATGGTATACTATCAGAGCTGAATTAACTATTAAGCAAAATAAGCACCTGCTAAGGGCATCAAGAAAAAGAAACACCACACGAAAAGGTATTTAGGCATTCAAAGGAAGGCGACATCTTAAAATTTCCCATTTTTTGTTTTGATATGGAATGTATGATACAGCTAAATCAACACTGAGAGAAAAATAATGGGTGAAAAAAACTGACGTTATATTGTAAATGTATGTGGGAGCACCAAGATCTTTTAAGTGCTTAGGGCATCTACAAGTCCTAATCTGGCCTTGTGTATGATACTAGTTCAAAAGCGTAACTGTAAACTGCTGCCACAATCGGTTTTGTCACAATGGCTGTCTCATAACTGGTGTAATTATGTAATCCTAATACGTGCCGTTACCATTTACCAATACAACTTTGGTGAGAAAGTTTATATCAAACAGTAATGAATTGGATGGTTCATATGCTGAATATGCTGTATAAAACCTCTACATGTCTTTTGTCATTCTTTGTATAGCTTTGCCTTCTCTCCTTTCTTAAAAAAATTTCTAATTCTTTCATGACTGTTGCCATCTCACGCACTTTGCTTATTTGTTAAAATAGTCGACGATCTAACAACCCTCCAGGGTCAGATAGGAAAGGCTTTCGGAAGAAAAAGAATGTTTTATTGACCGTTATGTTGAGGGATGTACTAACAACAATCATCTGTTAAAATAGTTGACAGTCTAACAACCCTCCAGGGTCAGATGAGAAAGGCTTTCAGAAGAAGAAGAATTTTTTATTGACCGTTATATTGAGGGATGTACTAACAAGAATCATCTGTATTACAATCATTTCTGTGATTATAAAATAGCGTTTCTTATTATGTTAAAGTATATTATAATTTGAAACTTTTATGTCATTATGTAATATTTAAAAATGATAATTGTGCTACTATTTGCAGTTAATAATTATATTTCTGGAAAGTAATATTACAAATATCAAAATGTTGTTCAGAATTTTTTTTTTTTTTTTTTTTTAAATTAAGGGCACTGTGTTACAACCTTTTATTTCCCCATGACGTTTTGATCAATATTTCACTTTTTTGTGTGGGTATGAAAAGCAGTTATGTCTTCAGAATGGTAGTGTTGAGCATGAGTTACTTAATGACATTATGGGAGTCTTTTTGTTTTCTATTTATTGCTTCCTTCTGTGAAGTGTATATTAAATTAATTTTTTATTCAGATGTTTAGATTTGGTGCATTTCTTTTATACATGGTAACAAGAAAGAAAAAGTTCCAGGTTGCAAGTGTTTTCAAGTTAACATCATCTATGGTATGGAGGTTTATTTTAAGTATTTTTGTATGCTTATTTATTTATTTTTATTTTTGCTAGAAAGCAGTGCTTACTTTAAATTGTACTTCGTGAATTAATTTAATTTTTACTCATGAAAAATTAGAACTGTGTCAGAGGTGGTGTTCAAGTGTCATTTTATAGGTATATTTTTATTTGTTTATTTGGTGACATATTTTGAGGCTGAATGTGGTATCAGAAAAAATTGCAAAACAAAGTTTTTGATATTTGGCAGAATAATTTTCTTGCATATAGACGTCAGAAAAACTTGCCTTGAAATATTTATATATTTCATTTACATAATTTAGGACCTCTTTAACCAAGTTCTGTACATATTTGTTCTTAAATAAAATTATTATTTATACTAAATGCTTATTTGTGGTGTCAAAGAAGAAAAGAAAAATGTGATTTCTATATTGGCTGTGTAGACATTTAGCTTGATCTAGTGAAATGTTTTGCTCACCCTTAATATGAAAGGAAGCTGTGAAAATTTCTGTACTGCAATTTATACCTTTTAAAACAGCTATAAAGAATTCTCTTGTTATGGTGCTATAAAATTTGTAATGTCTGTGAGGAATATGTAATAGTTTTTAGCTCTGTAAAGTATCCCAGGGCCATGGTTAGCATGGAACAATATCTCCATCACCTATTGTCGCCTGAATTCAGAAATTCTGAATAATTCAGCTCCTTACTTAATGATATTGCACACTTAGCTCTGATTTTATTCGTATTTGAAGATAAAACTACTGAGAAATAAACTGTAGGTTATGAAAGAAAAGGCAACATCAAAAAGCATTTTTATGCCCTAATGTAATATCTGTTCAAAATAAGTATATAGGGAAGTAGCATGTAAACAGCTTACTAAGGAGACATAAAATTATGTTGTTGTCTTAAAGGAAGTGGTATTTCTGATTATTTTGCACTTTACTATAATTGATTATCATACTTCCAGACATCATGAACATATATATAATGATGCATGCATCATACATATCTGTAAATGGTAGAGATGGTAAATGGAGTTTTGAATTAGCTGAAAATGTATGCTCGTAATGATGAAATATAGATATAGAAATGTAAAAGCCCTATTAATGGAAATTATTCTAAACTAAAGCTATGGCAAAAACAAATTGCAGGGAATTCCTGAAAGATACGATATAGGCAAAATATCTAAATATTTGGACTCTTAATGATTATTACCATTTTGTAAAATGTTTAGTCAGAAAAACAATGCGTTGGTACTCCTGTATCCATGAATAATTCATTCCAGGAAAGTACTACAGATAATACCAAATGCTGTATATAAATAAGATATTCATTTAGCATATGAAAATTAGGTTAAAACTTAATTGATGAATCCGATACAGTAAGACATTATCAGTATTAATTAGTAATAATAAAACGTATTGTACACTATATTACTTAATATGTTGTTAATAAAAATATTTCAAAATTTATTCTATGTTGTAGTGTACTTTTTCTTTCGCTTGCGTGTATTAAAGAAAGGGACACTGAAAGTTTAAGTTGATCCATAAAAGGCATATCAGAAATTAAGACGTACTATTTCTCTATTATATAGTGCAATAAGCTGCCTTAAAGAATGATACGAATGCAAATCTCTCTGTTGTTTCTTGACAAAGTAATAAAAATAAAAGTTATAGTTTCATATTTGACAATGAAAATTGCAATTAAATTGCGAGTAGTCGCAAACATAGCAAAGATTTTCACTTTTATAAAAGGGTACTAAATTATTATGGTATTCAGTGGCACCAGAATTGATGTGATGATAGTATAATATCTATAATAAGGAGAGGAAGAATAATAGTGTAGATATTGTGGTATTGGTGTACTTGTATTAAATTAAGGAAATGGGATAAGGATCATCTTCTTTAGAAGGTGTGGGGGGAGGGAAACATTATGATGGAATTTTTTTTTATTCTTTGACTTTCATAAATTGAAGAGTCATTCTTACTGTAAAACCTGGCAATTTTTGCATATGATTGTTTCCCCTAGTTGTGTCATATCCAAAATTTTTAATTTCTCATTTAATGACCAAGACATATCACAGCTTTTCTTAAACTTAGAAGCACTAGCATCATTACATTTACATTTCGAAAGCTCTGATAAAATATCGTTAATAAGAATAGGGGGGATTGCTAAGAACAGAGGAAGGAGAAATTAAAAGGAAAAATGTGTTAAAGTGGGGAGAGGAAAGAATTTAGATACCTTTTAACCCTGGTAGCTGTGGTCCTGTGTTGAAACTTGTCTTGTTATTGGAGGTGAAGAAAATGAACTAAGAAAAGCGCAATTCTGTGGAGTGACCTATAACCTGAGCAGTGATGTTGTTCCGAAGTTGACCAGTTTTATCTCCCTTCCATTTAGTTATAGTCATTAGGAAAGTATATGCATGTGTATGTTATCCTGATAACAATGAGAATATAGTACTTAGCTTGTTTCAGGGCTTGTATTTCACGCATGGGTTTATGCTGTTTGTCAGTTGACATACATTTTGAAACTTTAAATGACTTTATCCTTTTATGTGAACTGTGGCTACTTAATCAACCAGGAGCTTAGTCTTGGCACATTCTTGTAAATTTGAAATTGTGAAAAAGGAATTATTTTAACTCACTCTCATAGTAAAATCTTTATTGATTACTTTAAATATACAGCTTTGCATTGCGTCATCGATATTATTTAGAATCGGAAATTTTAAACCAAATTAATTGCTTGCTTATGCATACTTCCTAAGTACCAGCATCATTAACGAAATAATGCATTTTACAAGGTGAAAACCGCCCAACCGGCATAGTGGTTAGCGTGACTGCTGTGCCAAAGGGCCCGGGTTCGAATCCCAGAGAAGGCATGGATGTTTGTAAATGTGTAGTGTCGGTGCGGCATGGCGGCACTCTAAATATGTGGCGAGCCGAAAGGTCTCTTGTGTGGTTTGGTGGAAGGGGAGAGGGATGGAAGACCTAAGGACCCGCCACCTTGAGGTGTTCTCCATCAAAATTTGGGGCGGAACTGAGCTAAATAGGATTGTCACCCATAAGGTGCTCAAAGCGGATTCTGTTCCTGTGCCAACGACAGGCTTATCTTGAGCTCATTGCCACGAGGAATATTGTGAGCTTGGGTGATGTTACTGTCAGACAAGTGAGCATAAGTAACAACAACAAAGTGAAATGAGGAAACTCATTTTTCCTATTTTCCTCCCACAACATAAAAGATCAGTCAAATTTTTCTTTATCTGCATGCTGTGAGCTTATCGCATCAGGTAGAAGGGTTCGCTCTTTAAATTTGTGTAATTTATTAGCATAACAAAGGCGAGTTTTCTGCTTCAGTGTTAAATTGTAGTTTACATGTAAATTTAAAGTTGCCTATTTAAAGCTAACTTTATTTTAAAGATATGTATTCTTATTTCTGGACTTTTTTAAGTTTTGTATGGTGATGAAGCATCTTTTTTAAATTTACAGCATGACTGAATATGAAAGAGCGCGGTTTTTAAAGGACTTAATTCAACCAATGTTTAGATTTTGATCGTCCTCTGAAAAATAAAAATTGCTTTAAAATGCTGAAACTTAACAGGCATATCCATGTAAGGGCGGATTACAATAATGCTAAGCAATTCAAAAAAAAAAAGGTTTGTTTTCAGTCATTCTTTTCGAGTGAAAGTGAGACTGTACGTGCAGTATGCTGACAAGAAAATATCAGGACGCCTTTACATGTAGTAGAATGATTGGCAAGCTAGAGGAGAGGTGTAGTTTGACGTCTGTCGCCCAAGCGTTTGGAATTGTTAAGTGTTGCATCATGAGCCTTCTAAATGATAATTACAGCTGTAAGAAAAGTTTGTAGTGGTCTGAAAACAATGGTGACTAATGACCGATATATCGCCCTGCAGGCAAAAAGAAATCAAAACCAGACAGCAGGCAACATTGCTCAGCAGTTGGAAATGCCAGTCGGTCGACAGGTGTCCCGATTTACTCTGGCCAGACGGCTTCATAAAGGTAGCCTGTTCGCCACCGTCTTGAATGTTACATACCACTGATAGCAGCCATTGATGGTACTGTTTACACAAAGACTTGATACCTCATCAATGGAATCACGCAGCCACGTTCTGTTTACCGTGGAGAGTCGTTTTAGTCTGACAAACGATTCTCAGCACCAATTGATATGGAAAAAGGTAGGGGCACTTTCATCCCTCTTAATATCAGGGAAAGACAGCATTTAGGATGGTCTTAGTATGCTTGTATGGGAAGGCATCATGATAAACAGACGGACAGAGTCAGGGGTTCATTTATGGGAGATCGTTACATTGATGAAGTTATGCTCCCCTACGTGCTATTTTCCAGAGTGTCATTGGTCCAGACTTTCTTTTTATGTATGACAAGGCATGGCCACATGCTGTTGAGGAGCTCCTGGAAACTAAGATATCCACAGAGTGGATTGCCTAAGAGGCTTTCGTGATTTAAATTCCACTGAACATGTGCGGTATACTTTAGAGAGATGTCTGGCGGCACGGCATTACCTTCCGAAAAGAGCCAGATAACTGAAATATATCTCCTTGGAGAATGGGAACTCTGACCTCAGAAGTGTTAGATAATCTGGTGTTAGTATCAACAGATGATGCAAACCAACCATCACAGTTAGGGAAGGTCATATCCCATTTTAATGTTCTGTTTGTTATTCTCCCACTTGGCCAGACAGTTTTTTTGTACCAACACCGTTCTGTCAATAAAGTCTTTTTGTATTCGTTCTGTACTGTATGCGGCGTAGTAATTTTTTTTCTGTTATACTTTCCTCATCCTTTAAGTACTACTTTATGCCTCTGTGGTATGAATTTGATGTCTCCCATTTGATTTTTTGCAGAATTACAGCCAAAAACAGGAAAAGTTGCTAAGTTTTGCGCACTAGAGTGTATTTAATGGTCTTTGTCAGATTAGAGAGTGATCGTTTTTAGAGAATAATGTTATCCTTATTCATACCGATGTTTATGTACTTAGAAGTATTGGTAATAAAGGTGCTCTGCATGAGAGAGCCCATTGTATTATTAACAAATAAAATTAAAGTTATAGAAATAAACACATATTACAGAGATTGCTTTTAAATCTTTCAAAGTAGTGGACTGTTGTAATTTGAAAGGTAAATTAAAGATATTATGAAACAGTGAAAGGCAGCATATCGGGAAACTTGCAATAAATCAAGTCATGTTGCTGATAAATGAAATATTTTATGCATTGTGGAATGACATCACTTGTCAGGCTGTGCGAATGATAGATGTCTTGATAGTGTAGCATAACCTAACATAATGGTGACGAAATATAAAAATTCTAAGTTATAGATAGATGCTTCTAATTGGCAAAGTGCTAAACTTTAATCAATCAATTTTTATTACATCAGCCGTTTCCTTTTGACATTAATTGACATTTTAAACAGAAAATTTTGGAGCAGTTTCAGTCTATCGTGAAATAAATGCAGATGTGATATAGGGAAGCTCAAGCACGAATTATGACTGGCTTAGAGTATTGAAGTTTGAAGCACGAGCCAGGCTGCCTCTTAGATAGTGGTCGTTATAGAGCTTAATATTGTAATTATCAATACTTTGTTCGTGTTCTCAGAAGGACCGGTAATTTTTAGAAGCCATCATCTATGTAAAATGGTCTGCGTGAGAAGGTTCACTGTATTTGTATTCATATTCTGCTGGAAACCTTCATAGGTGTAGAAATGTAGATTAGATTAGGTTAACTGAATATAGCAAAGCACATGAGAGCTATCTGTCTAAGGGGAGGGGAGTGTATGTGGAGGACTTTCTGAGATAAACTAGCTTGTATTTATGTAATACAAGGAAAAAAATTAACAGGCAGCTGGCCCATTTGCCAGGTCAAACTGCTAGTATTGAGCGGTCGTAACCACTCGGACAGGAGACTGAAATATTAGAAAGGTGAGTAGAGTCAGTAAAAAGTGACGTGTGATATAGATGAATTATTGTGTAACTTTTGGCATGACTTTATTACCTCTAATTAATGACGTAAAACTTTGGTTAAGATTTTATTATTTTAATGTATAAAACAGATCTGTAATACTCTTAGAGGGCAGTTCTTTGTAGGGAAAAAATAAATATTAATACATTCTAAGGTTAATTTGTCTGATTTTTCTGTCAGTATATATGTATTTTCTTTCATTATTTAGGCATTCTTGATATTATTTCAGGTGCTGATGAGGTTATCCTGGGTTTTAGAAAACATTAGCAAGGTAATTAAAAAAGCTGAGTTTGTATATTTTTGGTTATGTGAAATCATTTATTTCTTTTATATTCAACCGCAAGATTTATGTTCCGTACGTTGTTTAATTAACTACTTGAAAGTCTAGTCGAGATAATTCTCTTTCTGAATGAAGCTGGGTTTTGTTAAGTATTGTATTATAAAAATGTCAGTGTGAGAGAAATTGCTTACAAAAAGTGAATTTGTGTTGTCAAAAGGATTCTTTTGAATGAAATATAAATTATGAATAAAATTCATGTTAAGACAGTTGTTTTATTAAATTCAGAAAATTTCACTTAACAGAGTATTTGATTAAAAATGTAACATTAAAAGCATGCACAAACATCCTTTCATTGAGTACAAAAAAATTCATTTTAATCGCTATCAATACTAGCCTCCAAAATATTTTGCCTGTGTTGTTTATTTGCCAATGGCGGGATGCCCTTTTCACATGGAAGTTTCTGTAACTGTCACTTTCTTTGATTTCTCCTGATTTAATTTTTAGAAGTTAGCGTATAAGTGTCTGCTAAGTGCTATATTGAAATTTTTTTAAAAAATTGTTTCATTATATTTGTGTATGAAATGTTCTGGAACACTATACAAATGTTTAATTATCTTTTCCACCATATCTTTTATTTTCTTAGCTTTTTACCTTTCTACTAACACCTGCTTTTGCTAGCCGAAGTTGATGTATTGAAGTCACTTTGTGCGAGTTCTCCATCATAGTGAAATTTTCTATAATTCGTGAACTGTGTTATATTAAAATAACATTATAAATGTGCTGCCTTACATGAGGATTATCTGTATTTTATTCTCTAATATGAATTATACAAGTTTCCATTATAAATTTAAAGCATTTTAAGCAGTTTATTTCTCATAAATTTAGGTTCATGAGAAACTCTTGCAGCACAATGTATTATTTGGAACTCTTGATACATGGCTTATATGGAAATTGACTCAAGGAAAAGTTCATGCTACGGATGGTTCAAATGCTTCTGTGACGGGATTTTTTGATCCCTTTCAGGTTTGTTTTTTTTTCATGCGTAAGCAGTGTGTTTTCTTATTAAATTTTCAAACAAGCCTAAAAAAAAAAAAAAAGCAATCCTGTATGGAAAAACTTACATTTTTTATACTTTGGTCTCAGAAGACGAGAAATAAAAATTTTCTTTCAAATACATATTTGTTATCTGCATAGCTTCCTAATTATTAATGTGGAAGATGGTGGAAGTAGTAACTTGTGTTATGGGGTAAACCTTATCAGGGTTCACTAATAAGAAAATTGTGTATTTACTTAAAATAGATAAATTACATATTCATGAATTTAATAAACTTCATAAAGCGTTTTTATGTATGTATGTCAGTCAGGAAATTATGTAAATAAAAAGCAACAAGTAAAATAAAAGTGCACTAAGTGAAGTAAATAGTACTCAAAAAGTAATTACATCATGCAAAGGATTATTTGTGTATTGATTTGTAAATCAAAATCTCTCTGGGTATATATATTTTACAAAATTATTTTAAAAGAAACATTTACAAAATGAAATTAAACATTTGGTCGCTGATAATTATGTATTTCAATTCAATCCGCATTTTGATCTTGTTGCTGCCTTTACATATTTACAGCTTTCAACTCCTATCAGCTTAAGGTGCCATTTTATTCTGTGTAATCTCTCTCTTCCTTTTCATCCTTACTTTCCATTTCATTTGACTCTGAAATTTTGAGAATAATTTGAGTTGTTTTGTTGCTAAGAGCATTAATTTCAGTATATCCTGCTATTTGCATGTAGTGCAAACCAGCACTATAAGCACTTACATATGGCACTGTTAAGCTGCATTGTAACTAGGGAATACTGTATATAATGTATAAAGTTTTTAATTTTGATATGCTATTATATTAATGACCTTTCAGAGGTAAATATCCGATTACATCTCAAAGCTTCAGGGAAGGACTGACCTTCACAAGGGATATTTCCTTAAAAAAATGGGTGCATTTTTATGCTGATTTAAGGGAAGAATAAAAATTTGCTAAGCAGGGTGCCAACAAATGTTCTATGATGAGGTATATAATAAAATGCCCCAAGAAAAATTTTTAAATTTCTCATCAAAAATTATAAAATTTAATAGTAAGGCATAATTTAAGTCATAAAAACGAAATATGAGGGAAAATGGTATGTTTTTTCAGAACAAGTTATATTTCGTTGCAAAATACCTACATATATATGCTAAGTTGCGCTTTTAAGACATGAAAAACGCAATTTGAATTTCGTCAATCCGCCCAGTAGAATGGGACATATAGAACTTTCCCTTATTTTTAGTCCAAAGAGCCAATTTGCCCTGAATGACTATTTATTTTGTTTTGACATTTTGCGTTGAAAACTATACACGGCGAATCACTATACCCTGTATTATATTTAAAGAAGTTAAATAATGAAGAATCTGTTCAATGTATGTATGTTTCTCTCACATTGTGATAAAACAACGGTACCTAGAGCCATCAAAATTTGAATAATGTAATCTTCCATAAAATATGGGCATGTGGTAGCCTTGATTTGAATTTGAAAATTATGTTATTATCGATTTCATATTTTATAACACTTCAATGAATTTTTGATTAAAAAAATTAATTATTTCAAAGCGAGTAATGGCAGCATTGTACGAAATTTTTTTTTTTTATCTCCACTGTGCAAGACTCTGTATCGGAAATTCTAAGGATATTCTCATTTTAAAATTATTATTTTGTGATATTGCTGTTGAACTGAATTTTATGGTTTGAGTACGTAGAACATGATATTTAATAAATAAAGGTAACACACAAAGCATTAAAAAAATGCCCCTTTTGATATAACTTAAAATCTGAAACCTTTCTTTCTCTTTTTTTTTCCGCAGTGTACATAATAAAAGAAAGTAAGAAAGGAAAATATTTTAAATCAGAAGCTAATCAAGTGACAAAACATTTAGTGACCATATGAAGATGGTCATACCACTCAGGGGGTTAATATAATTTTTTAGAAAAATATTCACATATTTGATCTGCATTAATAATTATGTCAGCATTTTCTGTTACGTTTTATTTCCATCATAATTCAACATAAATGTATCTAACGAGATTGCTTTTATTTCTTTCAACTACTTTGCATCAGACATTTAAAAGTGAAGTTAATTTTTTATCCAGTTATTTAAAGTATAGCATATGAACACCAAGAAGATTTATGGTAAAATAGTTTTCAAATAAAACTATCCTAAATGTAAAATTTTGTTTTAAAATTAGTTCACAGTGTAAATATTATTGTAAGACTTCAAATAATGTTTATAAACTATGTAAACTTACATACAAGCTGCAAATAGAGATTCCACAGTTCAACCTCAGTTATTCTCTTTTTAATTAATTCTGTTTTAATAAATTAGATTAAAAGCATATGTAAAATGCATACACTAATTTAGAGTTTAAAACGTAATTACAATAATCCATTATCATTTTGCATAAAGTGTATATCAGCTACTTTAAATTCAATTTTTAACTGAAAGAAAGCAATCTTCATAATGGTGCAGGTGCTTTTATGCCAGGGTACCCTTGTCAAGGTTTCTGTATTAGCAACAGTGACTATTTTTTATAAAGATGCTAACATATTTTGGTAAGGCACTGTTGGGGTTTCCATTTGGTTGGACAGTAGCTGATTTGCATAAAAAATGGCAGCACTTTCGAGAGAAAGTATAAGATTCCCCCCCCTCTGCTTTAACACTTTGTTTATAGGGATATTAAGTTCCCCTTTTTATGCTGTGGGGTAAATACTTGTAATCTGTTTCTTTGAAATAGGCACTTCAAAGTCATAGCAGCCCATCACTTTATAGTGGGGAGATTTATCATCATTGACCAATAGCACTAATTTTCTCCATGTCATTTTAGACTGTATCTCAAGTGATTCTTTACTTATGTGCGCTAATCTATATCTCATATTCTTTGGGTGCTTACATCAAAATCGGCTTTGTAATTTTTTTCCTTCATGGCTTGATGCAATGATGCAAGATGAGTATGGTATACACAAATAAGTTTACTAGCAAAATCGAATTTTATTCTTATTTTTGCAATCACTATCATGTGCATAGTGAATCAAAAATTCGATCCATTAAAGGTTTGCTGTAGGTCATTTGACTACAGAAATATATTACTTTCTTATCAATTTTAAATCAAATTTAAGATCTGTTTTTGTGGACTAAAGGCAGTAACATGGGTTTTCTTGTTATGCTTTTTAACATGAAAGCATTTCTGTAATCATTCTATAAAACACAGGTGACTCATGCACTGCTTGACATTGAAAATGCAACACAAAGAAGGAGTGGTCAGAAATTTATGCAAATTTTAGAGTAGACGCACGTCACTGAGGTATGCGAATGATGTGAAATGCACTGCTCTCTGACACACATGAAGTAAGATATAAGGGAACGAACTTGCAGAATGGTCAATATTTGTGTCGTTATTTCTGTCAGATAAATTATCGAAGAAAGCTGGTTTTTGTCCTGGAGGATGCGTGTAATAGGAGAAAATGCCAGGCCACCATCAACGAAGGCACTTCCAGCAGATAGACGATTTTACGAGGGGTATGGTGATCGGACTGAGAAGGGGAGGTCGGTTCTTACGTCAAATCGCAGCTGATACCCACATAGATGTGAGCACATTGCATCGGCTATGGCGAACATGGTTGGAACAAAGAAATGTGGGAAGAAGGGGGGTGCAGGTGCATCCAGAGTGACATCAGCATGCGTGGATCAACGTATCCACCGACAAGCTGTGGCGGTCCCGTCAGTCACTTGTATCACAATTCTGCAGCATGTGCAAGATACCCTGGATGTTCCCGCGTCAACCGGAACCATTTCCCGTTGATTGGTTGAGTGTGGCCTGCACTCACGGTGTCCGTTAAAAAGACCCCGACTGAGCATACACGCCAACGTTTAGAATGATGCCAGAGTGGAGTGATGTGGATGACAGAATGACGAAACATTGTGTTCTCAGATGAGTCACTGCTTCTGTTTATCCAGTGACAGTCGACCGCATACGTGTGTGGCGTTCGACGTCGACTGTCACTGGATAAACAGAAGACAGATCTAATCGGGCTGTAACTGTTGGAAACGCCCCTACCACGCAACAACGTGGCATATTGGTTTGTGGCGCTATTGCCTATGATTCCAGGTCACCTCTAGTTCGTATTCAGAGCACTATGACGTCCCAATGATACTTCGATAATGTAAAGCGGCCAGTGGTAATCCCGTACCTTCAGGGGGTGCCTAATGCAATTTTTTAGCAGAATAACGCCCGACCACACAGTGCTCGCATCTGCCAACATGCTGTGCAAGGTATACAGATGCTTCCCTGGCCACCATACTTTCCTGACCTGTGACCAATCGAACATGTGTGGGATGTGATTGGACGCCGTTTGCAGGCTCTGCCCCTGCCTCGTTCAGAAGACGAACTGTGGCAAATGGTTGAAAGGGAATGGAGAGCCATCCCTCAGGACATCATCCACACTCTTATTGACTCTATGCCTAGACGTGTTTTTTTGTGCATCGCTGTCCGTGGTGGTCCTACATCCTACTGAGCCGATGCCGTTCTCGCTCTGTATTCTGATTATCATTTTGAAATAAAGATCACTTATTGCTGCTTGCTGTAATTTTTTTTCCAAATTTCATCACTTTCTGACCACTCCTTCTTGGTGTTGCATTTTCAATGTCGAGCAGTGTATATATATATAGTCTTCTATAAAGGCCTATAAGAAAATTTCAACTAATTTTCTATAGTTGGCAACAGAGCTGTTACGATCTGTGCAGTGGCACCTGGTGTCAGAATTTAAAAACAGCAAAATTTTAGAATTCAGGACTGCATCGTGTGGCAAAAAGCGTAGTGCCTGTCCTGGCTATAGTGTTAATTGCTATCGGTCACTAATGAATTATTATAACCTGAATCAATTGTTTAATATTTTATAAATACCTTCATTATCAACATTACTTGTCGAATACAGTATTGATGACAAATGGGAAATAAAACTGTCATGCAAAGAAAAAAAATAAGTAAGAAAGTTGTCTTCACCCACTGTTAATTGAAAATTTATGATGATATGCTGCTTTTGTTAAGTATGAATGTAATTGCTAAAAGTGATACCTCAGTATTATCCAAATTTTAGTCTTTTTTATTATGTTCTGTTGTACTGAAATATATTAGAACTTATATTCCACAAATTTGTCCTCATAAAGCATAACTTATGCAGTTCAAAGTATAGTATAAATGAATTTCATTTTTAAATATTTACAGATGCAGTGGGCAGATTGGATATTAAAAATATTTAATATTCCTGTGGATATCCTTCCCGAAGTGAAAAATACATGGTAAATTTAATAATTATATTTTATGAACTTTTTCAAAGCTATTTACTGAAAAATATATGTATTTCCATATTCCTTCTTCATGCATATGATTGTGAAATTAGTCATAAACTAGGAAACCAAAGGCAAGTTGATTTCTAAAATAAAGATGCAAGAAATTCTTTATTAATCAAATTGATGAGAGAAATTTAGTATAGTTGGACGTCTTTAGAAGTACTTGTATAGAGGTTAATCTATGAACAGTGTGTTGAGTCGATTTTTTTTCAAGAATGTTTCACAAGTAAGGATTTCATGAAACTATTTTAATAAGTTCAAATTTTTAAAATAACGTGTCTTAATCTTAGAAATTTTATAATTAATGTACTGATTAATATTCCTTATTTATGAATAAATAAATATTAATATATCTAGAAATTTAATTCTTGTATCGTGAAGTGTGTGTATTGTGTGTATAGTGAAGTGCTTTTAAGTATTTTGTTGTGCAGAACTGTTGGGTGGCTTGCTTGAGTAAATTTGCTTCAAATTTATGTTTCTAATACTATAATCCTCTGATAACACGCAGAAGTATGACTAAATTCCTGACAAAGTTAAATATAATATTTGACATACATAGTGCATATAGTAGTATTTGTGAAGTTATTTATGCAAAATAAATACACTTGAAAAATAACCTGAGCAAATAGAAAAATATAAGACTATTTAATCTAAGTAGACTGTAAAGAAAAATCTAAAGACTGATTATAGCTATTAACTCTTTCTAGAATCAATTAACATTCACTTTTTTTTTATAGTTGTAACTCTTAAATTCTTGCAGATTCTTTAAGGTTTTAGTCTAATTCTTATACAAAATAGGACCTTTTTGTTTTGTGAAAGTAATAGGATGACATGTACCTAAATATGGTAGAGGAATACCTTGCATAATGCGGCTTCACTCACTACTGACACTGCTAGGGGATGGTTAGTAACTTGAATAATAAATTTCTCTCAGTACTGATTGATTGACTATTGTGAGGTTTGGAAAGATTTTATGCGAAAATAATATAGCCTATATGTTTCCACTAAAATATTTACAACCAAAATCAAATGATGCTGACTGGTCATGTGTGTTTGCAAAGACAGACTGACAGAGCGAACTTACCCTCAGTTTCTATGATAATCTTATTGCAGAAAATTTCATACTGATTACAATAGTCTAAACAAGCATAAATTATTGAATTTACAAGAAAAGTTAGAAATTATTAAAATTCATGAGGATGGTGCATCATATGCCAGGATTTCAAGAGATAAAAAAAATAGGTGAGTCTTTAGTTCAAAAGGACTCTACAAACTCTTTTGCTTTCAAGAAATTTATTAGACAAAGAAGTTCTTTGATTCTAAATATGAAAAGACTTCTCTCACTTTGAATTGAAGACTGTAAACACAAATTAATTCCCTTAAGTCAGCTAGAAATTCAAGCAAAACATTTTTTTCAAGCAAAACATGTATTTTTTTGTTTACACTTTCAAATGTGCGAGAACAAAACTGATGAAAATTTTCAAGTAAGCTGTGGATGGTTCTTTTGCTATAAAATGCTCAAGAAATGGTAATGTGTGCATTGTGGCAGCAAGTGCAGGTAAAGAAGCAGATCAGAATTTCCAGATGAAATAAAACCTATTATTGAAGAAGAAGTGAGTTTAATGAATTCATTTTTCACCGGAATGAAATTGAGTTATGCTGGAAGAAATTGCCTCCTAGAACATATTTGTCAGAAAAATAGCAATCTTACCCAAGCTATAAAACATTAAATGATTGAATTACTTATCTTATTGTAGGAAATGCATTTGGTGATGTGAAATAAAAGCCTATGCTTATGTACCAATTGCTGAAAACCTTTACACTCTAGAGGGATGTCCTAAAAACTCATTACCTGTGTTTTGTCATTCTAATAAGAAATGTTGGGTTACTAAAGCAGTGTTTGAAAGCTGGTTTAAAGATTATTTTTGTTCCTTTGTTAAAAGTTACTGTGGAAAACAAAACATAGCCTTTAAAGCATTATTGTTATTAAGTGATGTTCCGGGTCTTTCTACTGAGCATTCTAATCTTTGTAATAATGTCAGAATTCATTTTCATCCTCCAAGTATTACTTCAGAAAATCCAAATACAGCCTATGAATCAAGGGGTAATTTTGATGCTCAGGGCTTTCTATTTGAGAAGGATGCTTTCACAGGCAATTGAAGCAACGTCTGGTGAAAATGTCCCATCTTAAATCATATGTTGCAAAATTTGAAATGTTTGAAATGCTATTGGAAATATTTAATATGCATGGAATGAAGTGAGGGAAAATAACACGAGAAGCATGTGGAAATATGTTTCACCTTGTCACGCTAAAGAATTTTGCAGTTTTCATTTTCAAATGAATAGTCTCAGCAGAAATCTTGGATATATTTAGGCTTTGACTCATTGGATGCTGCCAAAGTCAACCAGCAGCCAAGTGGTTAAGTTGCTGAACACTAGTAGTTCTGATTTGGGTTTAAATCCAGGTAAATGGGCTGGCTGCATGGCTGTTTTCATGGTTTTCCCCCTGCCCCCTGCGTAACATGTATAGGGAACAGTTTCCCTTAGAAAGTTCTCCACAGAGGCATCTATCCTCCTGGGGCAGATAGCCCTAATGTGTTTTGCTGTAATCAACTAAACCAAACCAAACCATTGGATGCTGCCAGTGTGGTGGACTGCATTTAAACAGAATCTCAGTCTCTTGACGATGGATCTTTCATCAGCAGAGAAAGAGAATGGGCTTATGAAGAGGAAAATGAAATTGAAGAAAATATACAAATGGGAAAAAAACTTAACAGTGAAGAACCTCGAAGAAATAATCAGTGGAAGAACATATGAATTAATTGAAGAAAAGGATCTGAATGAGAATAGGAGGCTTGAAACAAGGCAAAAATTAGAGGATGTAGTTCTTTGGTATTGCATTATAAATGAAGGGAAAAAAATTGATGCAAAGAAAAACTTTGACTGATTTTTCTGGTTAAAAAATTAATGTTTTTCTTCACTAATTCACTGAAGCTTTTCTGCCACCCTGCTTTCCTTGCAACCTTTTCTTTTGAAGGGGGGATATGTAAGATATAAGAAAATGCTATAGCTGCTTTAAAAATAATTGGCAACTGCAAAAGATTTGGTACTCTCCCCCTAAATTTATCTGTTCTTCCAAATTCGAGATCCTTCCATGATTATATAACAACCTAAAATTAACCAATCATAGCTTGTCTCAGAAATTACATCAGACTTGGTATAAATACTCTTGGCACAAAAAACTACTTCATTCCTTTCCTTAGCTTCTGCCACACCAACGTCCATGCTGCTTTGTTTCCCCATCCTATATGCCTACATCATTTCTTTTTAAGAACCAATGTACATAACAATTTATCATATTTAATTATGATTGACACACACACACGCACGCACGCACAGTTTAATTTTACATGTAACCCCATATATATATATATATGTAATTTTTTTCTTTAGAAATTGTAAGAAAAATTTGGGAGGAATTTAGTTTTCCAGTAATTAGAAAATATATAAATGAAACTTTTCAAACAGGCTTTAAATGTAATATTTGTTTTTACTTAATTGGTTTGATATTGTTTGTTCGAGAGTTTTGTTCTCTGGTGCAAATAAAGTGCCTATGCAATTTTCCAATCAGCGAGCAAACTGACTTTGCTTAGCATTATGATCCATTAGGTCCACAGGACCATACACTTGAGTTAGAGAATTATACAGTGTTAAATTTCTATAGTCTGCAACTATGTTTTAGAAAGGTGGTGAAAAGGAGCAGCCTGGTATAGAAGCAACAGTGAGATTGGTTGTGAAGTGCAGAAATAACTGATATTATAACAAAGAGTATATGTATCGAAGGAGGAAGCAGTTGATCGCATTAGTATTTTCTTATGGCCTGTTTGCAATCACTAATAATAAATAATGCATGCAAATAGGAAAATGTAAGCATTAAATACTGCTGCTAATATCTTTGGTTGAAATATTTTTTTGTGAAAATCTGGCTTAATCTTTTTTGGACAGAGCTAGATTCTTTTTTTATACTTACAACTTATACAGATAGAATTTAAACTAGTTAATGTATGTGATGCGAATGACAAAGAAGAAATACTTTGAAAGCTCTTTTTCCTTAGTGATTAAGACATTGTAATTATATTTTAATGATTTTTTTTATCTGTCGTATTTTTTCATCTCTGTGCTTCCTATATCAGTAAGGGTTTATTTTGTATCATTGATGTAATATTTTATATATGCTGTTTGATCATTAGCTATTGTTTCATTTTTACGGATTTTTATTTTGATACTAAATGAACTAATCTAATTACATGATATTTTGTTATTTTCCATGTATTCTTTGGAGATAGATACAGTATGGTGGTTTTAGTATTTTAATTTAATTAGCAGTAGCTACACTATTGTTTTACTTTTATGTGATTTTGTTCTAAAAACTTGCTTTTACGATTCATGATTTTGTTCACTTTTAGATGTGATTTTTAATTTCAGAATTTTCAGTATATCAGTTTTTTGGTTATTTACAGTGATCATTTTGGTGACACATCTTCTGAAATATTTGGAGCATCTATACCTATTTATGCTGTGGTTAGTATTTAAATGTCATGAATTTTGTAGTAAATATGCAGAAAGAATACTAATGCTTTTCATTTTTGTATTTTTGTGGGTGTGAGTGATGAAATGTTGTAAGTTTTTAGTACCAGAGGTTGTTTTATACATTTTTTGGACATACCATAATACAGGGTGTCCGAGAAAAAGTGTTCCCATAACACATTATGTCCAGAAAGTTAGAAAAAACAAAGTGCCATTGAAAACGTTCCTGTACTTTGCATTGTTCAAGAGATATGTGACTCCCAAATACTGTACAGCATTTCCATCAAGTCAACCTTTTTTTAAAGAAGGTTTTGGCTTTAGTAGAGGGCCCAATGTGAAATAACACCTGCAAATGACAGCAGTATCAGGTATGTGATGAAAACCACACAGGTATAGCATGAATGGAGACAAGTGAGCAAAAGTAAGCTCCAATTGGAGTTTCATATCTGTTAGTTACAGCAGCAGAGGTGTGAAAATAGTGTTGTTTTAATGAGAAAAGAGAAGAACTGCAAATATATGGTTAATTTAAGATGCAAAGGGTGCTGTAACTTGTTTACTATGCACAGGGAAAAACACAATATGAATTATGTTATGATGTGTATTACTTTACATTATTGAATGATGCAGGTGAGAGTACATACTCACAGGTATCACATGCTGTGTAAATGTTTTTTGCAGTGAGACTTAATATATCTTACTGTAAGTACTTAGTTTGCTGTCTGTTGATACATGGGAGCAGCATTTCATGCTTGAATTATGAACTGTCTGTCTGTTCAGACTATGAACTGTCTGTCTGTTCAGACTATGAACTATCTGTTTGGTATTGTCTGAGGCTAAAATGAACTCCTGTGTAGAATTCAAGGGCTCCTGGAACACAATTAATTTCACATTGCTACGCAAAAAAAAGTTGATGGGTTTCAAGTCTGGCACAGGAACATAGAGAACATCAAGAAGAAATCATAGAATACTGTATTCATATACTGGGAGTTATGGTTAACTTTAAGTCGTATGTGTTTACAAATGCCTGCCTTTGGCCACTTAAGCCACTAGCCATCATATATCTCATTAACAAAGTGGCATACCAAAAGTGTAACAATAGCATTTGGCTTCTTCTAACCGTACAAATATGGCATATAGTGCTATCACACTTTTTCTGGGGGTTCTTGTATATCATGGGCCTAAGTAGTATAGTAGTCAGCACATCGGTCTTATAATCACGTATATATTATACAGAATATGAAAAGGATGTGCTATTTCTTTCCAAATGTATATTCTTAGATGTTTAACTTTTAACATTAAGAGTATTGTTAATAAGTTTGTGAACAAATTTCATGCACAATTACTTTTTCATTAGGACTTTATTACTGAATGAATGAAGATACAAATTGTGAGGCTGACTCAAAGCATTTGAATCAATTGCCCATTAAAAATAAATTCTTTTGGATAGAGGTAGTGGAGACATCACTTAAAAATTGTTCCCTAGAGCAGGCACCACAAAAAGACTGGGTGATTGTGAAGTCTACTATATATTAAAATCTGTCTGCCTCTGTCTGTTTGTTTGTAACATCATCTCCTCAGAAACAGCTGGGTCCCAGGCTTGGCAAAGCACACCGTTGGATTCCTCACGTCCGTGGCAAGCCATTTTGGCCATTGGCATGTTCGTGCGAATTTAATTAGCCGAGATATTAATTAAAAACTAATTCCCCCCTACGCTTTCCCTACATTTTGCACTTTCTCGGGTTTTCCCTATTAGAGAGAGGCTACATGCCAAATTCTTTTTTCTCGAATATCTTGGCAACGGCGCCGAGTTGAAATTTGAGATGCATATCACCCGATTCCAAAAATTCTCTGAATCCATCGATACCATTCTCATCTTCGTACCACTTTAATTAGCAGAGATATTAATTAAAACTGCGAAAACGATAATTTCCACGCTCATTCTTCCGAGTGGCAACAGTCTCTGCACTCGCTGAAGATAAAAATGCTTCGAATCGCCAAAGCAATTCGCAACAGAAATACAAATAAAATAAAACAAAAAATAGAAACACTCTTTTCATTTAGTTGTTAATTTATTGTACGTATATTGGTTTATCCCCTTGATAAGTCGATTTTATTATTGCTGCAAACTAATTTACAATATCATTGAAGTTCAAAGAGCATATGTAAATGTTATTATTTTTTTTAAATATGTTATTTTTTTAATAATAAATTTAATTTCTTGGAATAATATTTTGTCATTGTTTTAGATACGTGCACTTAATTTACATATGCTCTTTGAATTTAAATGATATTGTAAATTAGTTCGCAGCAATAATTTTTTTAAATTTTATTTTTTTGGCAATTAAAATTTCTTAATTAAAATTTAATTTTGGCGAATTAAAATGTTGGCGAAAAGGTCAAAGTTCACGGATATCAATCACAATAGCTACTTTTTCTTTCAATATTTAAAATTAACTTTTTTTTTTTTTTTTTTTTTTTTTTTTGAGATTAAAGATTTTTCTTTCCAGATTTTTAAACAAGAATTTAAAATTACTATATATTTTAATATACTAATTTAAATTCTGACTAAAATTTTTTTTTCGTTCAGGGCTTTAAATTAAATTTGTTTGTATTGATATATATATTGATGCAATTTTGTGAGTTATTATGTTGAAGTTAATCAAAAGGAATTTACATCAAGGAATTTTAATGATGAATCTACTGTTTAAATAATAAACCCGAAAATTTTCGTGATTACATTTTGTACAACGGCCAATTAGCGACTGTGTGGTAAAGTCACTGAACACTGGTAGTTTGATCCATCTTTCAAATTCCGGCGAACGGACTGGCTGCATGGGTGTTTTCATGATTTGCTGCATGTGTAGCATGTATGCAGTATCTTGTAGATGCATATGGGAATAAAACGGGTGCACCCTGAGTAAAATCGCTGAACACTGGTAGTTCAACCCAACTTACTAATCCCAGTGAACGGGCTGGCTGCATGGGTGTTTTCAAGATTTTACGAATGTGTAATGTTTATGCAGTATCTTATGCATGCATACATTAATAAAACGGGCACAGTCCAGGTAAAATCGATGTACACTGGTAGTTCAGTCAAACGTTTGAATCCCGGTTCCATGGGTGTTTTCGTTATTTTCCATGTGTGTAACGTTTATGAAGTATCTTGTGGATGCATACGTGAATAAAACGGGCTCAGTCCACTCAGGTAGTGGGCTTGCCCGCTAGCAATCGAGTGAGCTAGCGAATATCTTGTGGATGCATATGTGAATCAAGTGACCTAGCAATACCCTGTGGATGCAGTGAATAAAGCGGGCACTCCACGAAGGCATCCCTCCCCTTAGGTAGTGGGCTTCAGCCAAGCCCGCCAGTCAAGTACTTAAAATCTGTTCAAGATTTATACATTAGTCACATTAGTTACATTAGTTATAACAACATCAGTACCAGAGCTTGCTTTATAGATATTATTATTTATTAGTTTATAATACATTTGTGGGAAAGTGGTGTAAACTGTGAAATGATTTTTTTTCTGCACCCTTTATTAAAATACAATTTAATTTCACTTATAAAACATGAGTTTCTAGAATGATTCTGCATAAAATAAAGTTTGCCACTAAGGCATAGGAATTTGTTTGTTCCTATTTATGTATATTTTTGTGTTAAAAGAAATAGGGGGGACAAGTGAATTGTATGTGACAAAGACAAGTCAGGCTTTTATTTCCTTGCTAAAGAGAGTTGAGATATATTTTCTATCTCGCTGCTTCAAAAAGATTTGTACTTCAATTTGAATTTGCTACAGATTTATTCTTAGTTATCCATCAGGCTTCATCCTAAATTTAGAATAATTTCAGTGCTTTAAAAATTTGGGTTACTCAAAATTAAAAAAAGATGTCAAATATACTTGTATTGTTGGAATAGTATGGGACATGATCTTGAGGAAATGTAAGACAATCCTCACTAGTTGATTTTGCAAGAAGGTAATGAGAGTATCCTATCTGTAAATCATTCATTGCTGAAACTCTGAATTAGTCCAAAAGATCATGTGACTGGAGGCTTTTGAATCTGGAGGCAAATCACAGTGCAGCCAACATTATCAGTAGTAGTGGCTGTAAAAGTATATAAATTTATATCAAGCATTGTATGAAAAAATTTAAAAGGGGCTATGCTGACAAATAAATAAAATAAGGCTATTAATTGGTGAACAAGCCAGGTCGTGCTGATGTTAAATGTTCTGGTAACATATCATAGCAGGACATTAAATATAGAAATACTCCACGAAGTGTATATGTTGTTTATAATATCAGAAACTGCTTCTGGTGTTAAATCTGTAAACTGGGTATATATACAAATTCAAACGACAATTTAAATTCTAAGACAGATATATATATATACACATGCACAGGTTAGTCATAAAAAAACTTCCCTGATTTATGCAGCATATCTGCTCAACCAATTGCAATAAGATCTCAGATATTGTTATTTCGAGGTATATGTTGGAGATTGTGATTTAAAACAATAGAACTCTAACAGTTATGGTCACAGAGAAAAAAAAATTCGAAATTTTTGAAAGGCTACATCCATAGTTTTCCTGCACACATTGGTCAGCGCATTAAAAAACTGTAATTGACATTAGAAACGATACACGTTTGATGAAAACTGCTGGTGCAAACATTTGCAAAGAAGAGCATTGTAAAAGACCAATGATAGCACAACAGAGAAGATGGAATTTCTTTTCTTGGAATTGCAAGTTTTCAGTGTGTATAGTGTTTCAAGATAGAGTCATCTTCCATAACATTACAGTTTCGTGGCCACTATTATCTCTCTAACTCACTTTGATGGATTTCTGGTTCTGGGGTTACTTGGAATCTAAGGTCTACATTATCGAATCCACAAGATTTTTCAGAATTTAAAGATGTCACAAAATGTGAAGTTATGCAGATTCCTCCTGCGATGTTACATTCATCATGGTTGTTAGCAATTTCCCACATGCAATGCAT